AGAAAAATATTGAATGTATGAACAAGAATACTTAAAAACACATTTTCATTTTTGGGGTTTAATGAAACTTAAGGATAAATAAGTCAATTCAAAGGTCAAAGTTCTACTTATAATTTGAAGTTGCCAAAAAATATGCTGAAATAAAGTCTATTTAAATATGTAAAAAGTCTGGCAAGTTGAATTTTTATAATTTTTGTAATGAACAGTATTGAGAGATATAAAAAGATCCATACCTTGAATATTGCCTTTAAAGCTGCATGCCTCCACAGATGAGCCAAAATATTTCAAGACATTCATAATCACACTTGAGAAAAGTGTTGTAATTAAGATTTTAAGAACAGTAGAAATATTTAATATGATTCAAGTAATAACTTTTAAATGTTATATAAATGTGTGGTTAAATAACTGATTTGCAGTATTCATCCCCATAATTATTTCTACTGTGTTACTTTCCCATTAAGGGCTATTTTGAGCTTTTTTGGGGGGTAATTAATACATGGTTTAAAAGTCACTCACAGTTGCAGGCAATGTGTAAACTACTTTCTCTGTTCACTTAAGAATATTTAAACTTTTAATAGTCATTTTCAAAATTTTCATGAAAATTAGCATAAATCTAGAGGCATGCTGCTTTAAGGTAAGAAACTTACAGATCTGAAGATAATCAAAACTTTTCATCTAAAGTTATCCTTCAGATTATTAAATTAGGATACTCAAAACTTTTCATCTGAAATTATCAATCAGATTATATAAAGTTAGCATAATCCATGCAACTTATATTTCCAACACTATTGGTATTCAGTTTATTTTTTATCCTTTTTTATTTAAATACCTAATAAATCCATATTAGGAATGCCTGACTTTCTAATACCTATAAAATAAACCGACATTTAAGGAAATGCACACTTTGTTATATTTAAAGCCCCGTAAGAAGTAATTACCTTTTTACAGCTTAAGATTAAGAATTTATAGTGATACAGGTAATACTGATATTATATTAAGCCAAGTCCACATGATAAAATAGGATTATTTATCTCAGAAGTTATAAAACATAAAAGAGAAGTGGTATTTTAAAACCCTCGCCCTGCTGACTTTAGTATAACTTATTGTACTAGTCGCGGGTTGAGATATTGTGTTATTTTGTGTATGAGCAATCTCTCCCCTCTCCTCTCATAGAAGTAGAACAAAAAAATCTCAGAATCTAGCTTATGCATCACGGTTGACTATTGTCCACTTTATCCTGCTCTGAATTTCAACTTAAATTAACAAAATGATATGTGAGCAGTTTCTATCATACAGTATAAAAGAAACGAGAATCCTTCAGACAAAACGGAAATAAAATATATTTCTTGTTCATAGATCAGCTGGGACACTTAATTAAAACAGAAACAAATACAAGAGATACTCAAGAAATATACCCCCCGAAAAAACCCTTGAAAATCATATTTTGTGTGCAAATCTTGGTAGCCCAATTTGAGTTGCAACATTTTTCAAATTTTTGGGTCATTTCTTACAATTTCTACATGTTTTAACTGTTTTGGGGAAACAAAGAGAGAAAATATTATCTGAAATTTTGCACACACGTTATTGGTCAAGACCCACATCAAATGGAACATTTATCTCAGAAAATTATTTCCAGTCCCATATGATGTCAAAAAACCTCAGTGGTTCCTAAATTACTGTTAAATGCAATAATAACTTCAACCCAACAAACTAATGTAACATTGTGAACAAATTATTATACATGTTATGATGTAATAGTGTAATTAAAGCTACCAAACATATGTCCAGAGTGATTTTCACAGCAAGTGTTTTAAATGCCTAACTTTAATAAACATTTATGTTCAGACAACAAAATTTATGTCAAAGCCTGTATGTCAATATTTGTTTTGTATATGGAGGAAATATTTGCGTAGGCCTTTTATCTTTCATTTTATGATATATTCTGTCAGAGATGGCAAAGTACAGTCTTATCCTTAAACAAACAAAACCAGGAGATAAACAAATAATTTCGGAATTCTTGACCTTTGTAACTTTAAAACTGTCAACAAAAAAAAACTGCATAAAAAGATTTTATTAAGACATTGTGCCAAAAAAAGCTTTATGATAAGTGGTTAATGATAATGCTAAAGGTTTTAAAAAATGCATGAATGTAAAATATTCAGACAAAGGTACAGAATTATATACAGTTCAAATTTGGACAGTCCCCTTCGAATTGTAATGATGATTGTGAACTACAGTAAAATCTCACGCTTTTTATAACAGTGGAAAATAAACAGGTTTTGAAAATATTTAATCAATTTCTTTAAAAGTTTTAAACCATCTCAAACAATTTAGCAATATATTTATAATACTGGTCATCATTTAAAAAGCCATCATCTCCATATTAAACAATGCTATTAACATTGTCAGTATTACCCAAATAGAAAAATACCTAAAAGTTAATCATGCAAAGTACACAATTTACTAATTTTTAAACACTAGTATTTGATAATGCTATTAAATACAATAATATACATTTGGATTGTCTGATATAACACATAATTGACTATAAAATACGACCCATTTCCAATAGCATAATCGTACAGATCTTTATAGATTACATTATGTCTTATGATGACTCTTATCATGTTATCTCGATTAATCAGGTCTAAAATCCTGCAAAATATCTGAACCTAATCTCAACAGCATATTTCTATGATTGCGCTTTATTTCAAAATTGTGCACAAAATAATCAGCTTTAAATTGACAAATCAGGGCATCCATAAGTGGAAGTTTGGGAATCAGTTTCTCCTGATTTTGGCTTGTGACTTCTAATATTTATTGCTTTTCCTTCTTTAATATGGGATAGGCCATACCTATATAAATTGACTTCCATTGTCAGACATTTTCAGTATCTGATTTCCAAATTTGGAACTTAATGGAAGCCGTGTTCAATTACAAGATGGCAAATGTGGGTTAATATACCCCTCTTACCCTGGGTAACAAAGTTAACAATATTGTTCATGCAGTTACAACTTTGTAAATATACTTATAACAAGTGAAACATGTTGATCACTCTTTTGGAACATGACTGTAGAAGTTCAACAAAGGCAGTTACATTTTTTCTTAATAGGAAAACAAACAAACATTTTAATAAATGAGCAAAATTTCATCCCCTGAAAGTTTAAAATGCTAAGTAAGATAATGCTTATTATACAAACTGACCTCATTAAGGAATAAAGTATAGAAAAAGTGATTTTTAACTGTACAAAGTTTATATACCATTTGGCATTAAGGAAGGGATATAAATTATTATAATTAAAATGTTCTTAGTTCATTACTTCAATGGTAACACGACAAAACAAGAAGTTAAATTCGATAACAAGTATAACATTCAGTGTGCAACATGTGATTATTTGATCTAAAAGACTAAATTTTACTCACCCATTTCCTATCCAGTGCAGACCTAGGCCTTGGTGTTGAATGTCTAGCCGAGTTAGGCACACTCTGGCTATTTGGTGGACTATATACCATTCCTATTGTTTGACGACGAAATCTAGGTGGCGATAAAATTCTTTCCCTATGCCTCATAGTAGTCATTCTGTTAAAAAAAATGAATCTAAATATTAAATTATTTATTTAACCAAGCATGTATATATTTGAAATTGTGTGAATTTTTGTAAGATACAATACATGACCAAGGTCTGGAAAATTCTTAAGTGTATACAGACTTAGTACTATTCAACAACTATAGTGTCATAGAAACAGACTGTGTGCACCAATGCTCAGTACTGTTGGTTGACAGTAAAAGAGCCATACAGCAATTATCAATGTTTGCAAGGATAAAATAATTTGTTGTAAAGTCAAGGTAGAAATTTTATGGGTCTTGGTCAGAGTAGACCTACATATTAAATATTATAAAACCATGAAAAAATTTGTCATGTTTCAAATATTATGAATACCATCAGAAATTAATAAAGACAGATCTATGCAAATTCTTAACAATGGAAGTGTAACATAACATTATTTATTATGTTGGCAATTAAACGAAAGTGGTCAACAGAATTAATTAAGCCCCCTTTACTTCTTAAAATTTTGCTATGATCTTTGACTTACTGTAATATTCCTTCATATATTAATTATATTCATCCTTTAACAAATAATAATGATACAAATTACAATAAAGCAGTATTGCAGTATACCAGGCCCATCTAGAGGCATGTAGATTTAATAAATCATCATACAAGGCAGCTAAAAGAATTTGTTTAAATCAGTTTTTAGTCTGATCACAGGAACTTAAGATTTAAACAATTATATAACGGGTATGAAATATATGTAAGATATGTCTGATTTTCTTTAAAACAAAAAAAGAGAAAAGAAAAATATAAGAAATTTTTTTAATAAAGTGTTTTTTATAACTTTTTTTTTTAAATCTGACATCACAGAAATTATTGACAAAGTTTCAAGTTTTTATATAGTCATGTCATGTATATGGATAAATATATTTTAGAAAGACAGCTTTGTAAACTTTTTATTTCAGATACTGAGATTAAATTAATAAAGTACACAATTCTACTGTTTCATTACAATGAATACACTTATACATACAGAATATAATAATTCCAATTCTTTAGAAAGAATATAATTCAGATTGAATATTTTTCGGTCCTTAACTTTTGGAATTGTTCTAAACTATTATTTAACAATTGCAATACTGTGTGTATGTTTACATTTCTATTAATAGAACTGTAGTACATTCTTTAAGAATCAATAGAGTTAGTACATAAATAACAGGTGCCCGCCTAATTTGCTATCAATTTATCCTTACCTGAATGAAAAATTAATACACAAGCGAGTTTATACAACAAAAGACAACACAATAAATCATCATTGAGGAAAACTATCAACCTATTCCGTCTAAATGCTTCTGGCATACACTAAAATCCTGCATTTTACTCCAAAACACGTTTATCAATCACATTTCAAGTTTCACTTTCCACAAAGCTTTGTGTAGTAACATGTGACGTCATCAGTTTATGTGTATTTCACATGTTTTGTGATGTAGTTCACATAACATTGTAGGTTGCGGAGTTTTTGTCAACCTTAAAGGTACGTGTTTAATTATTTTTGGCACAGGAAGATAATGCAATACGAATAAGAGTGCTAATGCTAAGAGCGGAACATTATAGTAAATAAAGGTGCTAATGGTTAATGTTGGCATCGTACACACAGCCGTAAAATTTACACTCGTGCTTGCCAGAGACATAGATTCGTACACAATTATTTCGACCCATTTTGTATTGATATTCGTTGTCGTGTAAACTGACAGTAGCTGTTAATATGTACTGATGTCTTTAGATTTTAAAACTAAACAGAAAACATTAATCATTTTTTATTAAGGACAAAGGGGTACGGCTCATTGAATGTTCACAAAATATGTATTTGATGGTAGAAAACATTTATCCTAAGTCAGAAATGAATTCTAAATCCATTCCCATTACACTATATACTAATATATAGACAAGGTCTATATATTAGTATATAGTGTAATGGGAATGGACTTAGAATTCATTTCTGACTTAGGATAAATGTTTTCTACCATCAAATACATATTTTGTGAACATTCAATGAGCCGTACCCCTTTGATTAAGGATTAATCAGTTAATATACTATTGATTCAATTTTTTTCCTTTTTCAAATATTAAATTTTGCAATTAAATTACCAAATAAATTGTCCTATTTTTACATGCATTTGTAAGATACTTACAGTCACTTGTTACACAACCCCACTAAATGGGGACAGTGTGGGGAAAAGAGGGGAATTTATAGAAAAAAAAAACATAAAAGAAAGGTGTCACAAATAAATGCCAGCTGTTAAGTCCTAGTCCAATATGTATCAGACGTTATAGGCTTGTTATAGTTTATGTCGGTCAAACCCAAATGTTGCTTTGCCCAGAACCAAACATATCTCAAAGTGACGTCATATTTATAGGACTAGTTAAGTCCATGTTATTGTGTCAGTGTCATATGGACATATCAAGTCATCTCTTGTTTTTAAGCATACATTTTATGTTAAATGACTCATGTCGTCATGATCCTGTCTTGATTTAATCAAAAGTTTTCATTAGAGCTGTCATTGAATATCTCAATATCAATGTATATTATGTATTATCACTATTTATCATCCGATACAATATCAAAACACATTTTCTAATATCTATACAAGCTAAAATTTATTTATTTCCGTTTGTGAATATATACCTCTATATTTTGCCTAATAAGAGAAGTCACTTTTTTTCCAGTTTTCTTGGCTAACTTAAACTTTAAACTCCATTTCCAAATGTCAGTGTCAGTTGTATTTTCAGCATGTAAATTTAAATAACCCCATTAAAACTGTTGGCAAAATCTGGTGTTTTGTTTGCAAATCTGTATCTCAAAGTAAAAAATGAAAACCCAGACTGATTCCACTGAACTACATTCATAACAAGTAGTATGCATGGATTGTCGAAAATGTATTTAATGAGTGGTGATTGCCACTGATTTTTATGCTGAATCTGTTTCATTGTGTAGCATTTTGGTGTGTTTTTGTTGTTTTAATACTGAAAATTTTATTTTACAGAAAAAGGTATAAGACTTATAAAGATGAATCTTTGCATGAGAAGAAGGGTGTCTTTGAAAAGACTGCATTCCCAGCTGACATTGTTTACAAGGAGGCTTTGTGACAAGTCGTCAGAGAATCAAACCTCCAAGCAAAAGAATGAAATAGGTGAACAGCAAGAGAGAGAATATATACCACCTGGAGGGGAAGCAAGGTTTTTGTTTTGTTTTGTTTTTGGGTTTACGTCACATCGACACAGTATAGGTCATATCGCGACGTTCCAGCTTTACTGGTGGAGGAAGACCTCAGGTGCCCTTCAGTGCATTATTTCAGGCACGAATGGGCACCTGAGTAGTACCACCGACGTTCTGTAAGCTAGCTGGATAGCTTCCTCACATGAAAGAATCCAAAGTCCCTGTTTGGATTGGAACCCAAACCGGTGAGGGCAGGTGATTTGAAGTTAACGACCTAAACCACTCGGCCATGGATTATGGGAGCAAGGTGATGATGCTTTAAATAAACATTGGTACAAGTTTACATGAAGTTTTCATGCATTTTTGCCTAAAATTAAGTTTTCTCTATTCCGGAAAGCTCTCTTTTTCTATTTAAAACCATTTGAAATAGCACTAAATTCAGGGTTTTCAGGACTGGTTTTCTGAATATTTTTTAATTTGTACACCCATGTAATACACCTGACCATATCGTCAACTTATTGCAATAACTGGTTATCTACTATTAAATTTAGAAGGATATAACATGTTACTGCACTAAGGTGACGATACATAAAATTATGCTGTCGGTTTTACAATATGAAGATATATTATTTCTTTCAAACTGTCCTACCATATTTATTTGTGTATGAGACAGGATTTTGGCCTTTAGATTCAGGAGGTTATACAGTGCACCTTGTCTTATAGGTTTATCAACAGTCCATTGAAAAAAAATTACAGTCTTAGCAAATTTTTGTCAATTTTTGTTTAGAAGTTACACCCTGTCTTACTAAAGGTTCATTTTACTGGTAAGGAAATATTTTATAAATAAATTAAGTTCAGGTATTTTTTTTGTTCATCCATTTAAATTTCTTAATGGTCATTTACATTAATCAGGTGAATCATTTTCACAAAATTTGGGGGGGACATTCACACTAAAGTTATTGGACATTATCATTGAAAATTAATTGGTGCCTTTTCAGGCTTTACATAAACTATTTGGTCATTTTCACAAAATTTATAGGTCATCTAATGAAACTCGTTGGTCAGTAATACAGGTACATTGATATGTCATTTACAGGGAACGTTTTTGAATGTTTTGAACATTTTCACAAAACTAATGGTATGTGAAAAAACTTGAAATTATAAGCTACAAAAATAGATTCCTCTTGAACTTAAATGAGCTTGATTTGATATTGATAAAGCTTGTTATTGTAATAAATAAGTATGATGTACTGACATTTCAGAAATGTGACAGACATTTTGTTGGAGGATATAAAGCCAATATTTCAAAGGCAGACAAGTACTACAGAACTTCCGATACCTCGCCACACAGATATTGTCATAATGGGAGGTGGATTGGTCGGAGCCGCTGTGGCGTATTTCCTTTCCAGTCAGTCGTCAAAACTGTACAATGTTACAGTCATAGAGAGGGATTATTCTGTAAGAAATATACTTGTATGAAAAATGTGCTTCTTGAGATTAGTGCTGATTTTGATGAGAAGTTACAAAGTGTTTTGAATAGTGAAAGTGGGTGCTTCTGTGGTCTATTGGTTAAAGCTGTTGATTTCAAAGTACTTGCCCCCTTACCACTGACAGTTTCAAATTTCTGCAAGGGACTTAAAATTCAGCTAGCTTATGGAATGTTGGTGGTTCTACTACTCAAGTGCCTGAGGTCTTTCTCCACCAATAAAACTGGAAAAGTAGTCACATGACCTCTTATGAATTGTTTTGGTGCGACTTAAATTAAAACGAAATAAAAAAGAAATTATGCTGGCATATTGCACTTAAATTCTACATAAATTATCTGAAATCATCAAATGCCTCAGACTATGCAAAAATACATTGTAAAGATTCAGGGGTGGGGGCCCATAACTATGGTATGAGTTATGACTGAATTATGACTGAATTATGGCCCATTGTGAACTTTGAAATTCTTGGTTAAAGTTTTAGTATTCACTTGGATAAAAATGGATAAATACAGTTCACTTTCCAAGACTCATATCTCTGACTTGAATGAAATTTGATCTTAAGTGAATTATAAAATTGTTTGGTGAGTATCCAAAACTCGTTGCCATAGTAATCATGTATTTGGAATATAATGTTCCTCTTATTTGTAAATACCTACATTATCTGGGCTCTTGTCTTACTATCAAGCGCTGTGACGAGTTGAGCACCCTGACCAGTATTGACGGCTCTTGTTTAAATTATATTTACTTAGAGGCCAGCAAATTTAATATTTGTAATTTTTAATTTGAATTGATTATTCATACTGAGATAAATTAGTGTGATTGTGAATCTTGCCTTGATAATTATACCTTCATTATGATACAGTATTTATTTACTAAACCATGTATTTATCATCAGTTGTAATAAATTTTGACAGGTTATATGGGTCAGTATGTTTGTGCATGTCGTTTTTCATTAGTTAATCAGGACATTTATATAGTTATTATATATACAGGGCTGCTGTCAGTTTATTAAAGGAACTCCACTGAGATTTTTTGACATGACGGGACTGGAAATATTTTTTTGAGATTATTACTCCATCTGATGTAGGTCTATACCAACAATTTATGTGCAAAATTTCAGATCATTAGCTCGCTTCTTTTTTCCAGAATAATTGTTTTAAATGTAAAAAATGACCTAAAATTAAAAAGCATTTCACTCAAATCGGACTGAGAATAACACAAACATACACTTTTCAGTGTATTTCTAGGTATATTTCTTAATCATCTTTTGTATATATTTCCGTTTTAGGTGCACCAGTTGATATATGTGAGAAATTAAAAATTTATGGTTTTAGGCTTTAGTCCCTTAACAATCTTCTCCCTGATTATATGCAAAATCTTTTTACTTACACTGAAAATACACATTTAAGATCATATCAACAAAAACAACTTCAAATCCCAAAACCTAGACTTGAGTTCTGCAGAAAATCTTTATCATACTCAGGGTCAAAACTTTGGAATTCTCTTCCCTTAGATATCAGAAACTCCACAAATTTACAATCGTTCAAAAATAATTATCTTAAATGGTGGTTCTCTGGTGGGAATAAAACACATCAAGTTGTATTATAAAATGGTAAATGTATATCTGAATTGCAACAAGATATGTTTGTAAAACATGTATGCCACCTATCAGCAGCCAATTAGTCATGTGATAAGGTTATTATGCATGACTTCTGACCCAGTTATCAAACAATTAATAAGGGTTATAAAGTATCTACTGGTCATGACCTTGACCTTTGACCCCATGACCCAAAACTCAATAGGGGTCATCTGCTGGTCACGACCAATCATCATACAAAGTTTGAAGTTCCTAGGCCTAGCGTTTTAAGTAAATTGATCAGAAACCGTTTTTACCTAAAAGGTCAATGTGACATTGACCTTTGACCCCTTGACCCCAAAATCAATAGGAGTCATCTGCTGGTCATGACCAATCACCATGCCAAGTTTGAAGTTCCTAGGCCTAAGGGTTCTCTTATTATTGATCGGAAACCGTTTTAACATACAAGGTCAATGTGACCTTGACCTTTGACCCCAAAATCAATAGGGGTCATCTGCTGGTCATGACCAATCACCATGCCAAGTTTGAAGTTCCTAGGCCAAAGCGTTCTTTAGTTATTGATCAGAAACCGTTTTTACTTACAAGGTCATTGTGACCTTGACCTTTGACCCCTTGATCCCAACATCAATAGGAGTAATCTGCTGGTCATGACAAATCACCATACCAAGTTTGAAGTTCCTAGGCCTAAGCTTTCTTGAGTTATTGATCAGAAACCGTTTTTACTTACAAGGTCAATGTGACCTTGACCTTTGACCCCTTCACCTTAAACTCAATAGGGGTCATCTGCTGGTCATGACCAATCATCACACAAAGTTTGAAGTTCCTAGGCCTAAGCGTTTTTTGTCAATTGATCAGAAACCGTTTTTACCTACAAGGTCAATGTGACCTTGACCTTTGACCCCTTGACCCCAAAATCTATAGGTCATCTGCTGGTCATGTCCAATCACCATACCAAGTTTGAAGTTCCTAGGCATACGGGTTCTTAAGTTATTGATCGGAAAGCATTTTTACCTACAAGGTCAATGTGACCTTGCCCTTTAACCCCTTAACCCCAAAATCAATAGGGGTCATCTGCTGGTCATGACCAATCACCATACCAAGTTTGAAGTTCCTAGGCCTAAGGGTTCTTTAGTTATTGATCAGAAACCGTTTTTACCTAAGAGGTCAATGTGACCTTGACCTTTGACCCCAAAATCAATAGGGGTCATCTACTGATCATGACCAATCACCATCTCAAGTTTGAAGTCCCTAGGCCTAAGGGTTCTTTCATTATTGATCGGAAACCGTTTTTACCTACAAGGTCAATGTGACCTTGACCTTTGACCCCTTAACGCCAAAATCAATAGGGGTCATCTGATTGGTCATAACCAATCACCATACCAAGTTTGAAGTTCCTAGGCCTTAAGGTTCTTTAGTTATTGATCGGAAACCGTTTTTACCTACAAGGTCAATGTGACCTTGACCTTTGATCCCTTGACCCCAAAATCAATAGGGGTCATCTACTGATCATGACCAATCACCATACCAAGTTTGAAGTTCCTAGGCCTTAAGGTTCTTTAGTTATTGATCGGAAACCGTTTTTACCTACAAGGTCAATGTGACCTTGACCTTTGACACCTTGACCCCAAAATCAATAGGGGTCATCTACTGATCATGACCAATCACAATACCAAGTTTGAAGTTCCTAGGCCTTAAGGTTCTTTAGTTATTGATCGGAAACCGTTTTTACCTACAGGGTCAATGTGACCTTGACCTTTGATCCCTTGACCCCAAAATCAATAGGGGTCATCTACTGATCATGACCAATCACCATACCAAGTTTGAAGTTCCTAGGCCTTAAGGTTCTTTAGTTATTGATCGGAAACCGTTTTTACCTACAAGGTCAATGTGACCTTGACCTTTGACTCCAAAATCAATAGGGGTCATCTACTGATCATGACCAATCACCATACCAAGTTTGAAGTTCCTAGGCCTTAAGGTTCTTTAGTTATTGATCGGAAACCGTTTTTGCTTACAAGGTCAATGTGACCTTGACCTTTGACCCCCTGACCCCAAAATCAATAGGGGTCATCTACTGGTCATGACCAATCACCATACCAAGTTTGAAGTTCCTAGGCCTTAAGGTTCTTTAGTTAATGATCGGAAACCGTTTTTACTTACAAGGTCAATGTGACCTTGACCTTTGACCCCTTGACCCCAAAATCAATAGGGGTCATCTACTGATCATGACCAATCATTATACCAAGTTTGAAGTTCCTAGGCCTCAAGGTTTCTTTAGTTATTGATTGGAAACCGTTTTTACCTACAAGGTCAATGTGACCTTGACCTTTGACCCCAAAATCAATAGGGGTCATCTACTGATCATGACCAATCACCATACCAAGTTTGAAGTTCCTAGGCCTTAAGGTTCTTTAGTTATTGATCGGAAACCGTTTTTACCTACAAGGTCAATGTGACCTTGACCTTTGACACCTTGACCCCAAAATCAATAGGGGTCATCTACTGATCATGACCAATCACAATACCAAGTTTGAAGTTCCTAGGCCTTTAAGGTTCTTTAGTTATTGATCGGAAACCGTTTTTACCTATAGGGTCAATGTGACCTTGACCTTTGATCCCTTGACCCAAATCAATAGGGGTCATCTACTGATCATGACCAATCACCATACCAAGTTTGAAGTTCCTAGGCCTTAAGGTTCTTTAGTTATTGATCGGAAACCGTTTTTACCTACAAGGTCAATGTGACCTTGACCTTTGACCCCAAAATCAATAGGGGTCATCTACTGATCATGACCAATCACCATACCAAGTTTGAAGTTCCTAGGCCTTAAGGTTCTTTAGTTATTGATCGGAAACCGTTTTTGCTTACAAGGTCAATGTGACCTTGACCTTTGACCCCCTGACCCCAAAATCAATAGGGGTCATCTACTGGTCATGACCAATCACCATACCAAGTTTGAAGTTCCTAGGCCTTAAGGTTCTTTAGTTAATGATCGGAAACCGTTTTTGCTTTCAAGGTCAATGTGACCTTGACCTTTGACCCCCTGACCCCAAAATCAATAGGGGTCATCTACTGGTCATGACCAATCACCATACCAAGTTTGAAGTTCCTAGGCCTAAGGGTTCTTTAGTTATCACTCGGAAACCATTTGGTCTACGGACCAACAGACCGACGGACCGACAAGTGCAAAGCAATATACCCCCTTTTCTTCGAAATGGGGGCATAATTATTATATTCTTATATAATGTTTTTTCCCTAGATTTTCATTTTACATGTTTCTTAACTATGTTGTATTTGTAATTATGTTGTTGTTTATCATACCTTTTGTTTGTAAATGTTTATATTATGTACATTGTATATTTGATAGAGGCTCATAGGGAAGACTGGGCATGCCCAACTATGTTGCCTCTTTAAATAAAGTCTTTATTATGCCCCCATTTCGAAGAAAAGGGGGTATATTGCTTTGCAGTTGTCGGTCCGTCAGTCCGTCGGTCCGTAGACCAAATGGTTTCCGAGTGATAACTAAAGAACCCTTAGGCCTAGGAACTTCAAACTTGGTATGGTGATTGGTCATGACCAGTAGATGACCCCTATTGATTTTGGGGTCAAGGGGTCAAAGGTCAAGGTCACATTGACCTTGAAAGCAAAAACGGTTTCCGATCAATAACTAAAGAACCTTAAGGCCTAGAAACTTCAAACTTGGTATGGTGATTGGTCATGACCAGTAGATGACCCCTATTGATTTTGGGGTCAAGGGGTCAAAGGTCAAGGTCACATTGACCTTGAAAGCAAAAACGGTTTCCGATCAATAACTAAAGAACCTTAAGGCCTAGGAACTTCAAACTTGGTATGGTGATTGGTCTTGATCAGTATATGACCCCTATTGATTTTGGGGTCAAGGGGTCAAAGGTCAAGGTCACATTGACCTTGTAAGCAAAAACGGTTTCCGATCAATAACTAAAGAACCTTAAGGCCTAGGAACTTCAAACTTGGTATGGTGATTGGTCATGATCAGTAGATGACCCCTATTGATTTTGGGGTCAAGGGGTCAAAGGTCAAGGTCACATTGACCTTGAAAGCAAAAACGGTTTCCGATCAATAACTAAAGAACGTTAAGGCCTAGGAACTTCAAACTTGGTATGTTGATTGGTCATGATCAGTAAATGACCCCTTTTAATTTTAGGGTCAAGGGTCAAAGGTCAAGGTCACATTGACCTTGTAAGTAAAAACGGTTTCTGATCAATAACAAAAGAACCCTTAGGCCTAGGAACTTCAAACTTGGTATGGTGATTGGTTATGACCAATCAGATGACCCCTATTGATTTTGGCGTTAAGGGGTCAAAGGTCAAGGTCACATTGACCTTGTAGGTAAAAACAGTTTCCGATCAATAATGAAAGAACCCTTAGGCCTAGGCACTTCAAACTTTAGATGTTGATTGGTCATGATCAGTAGATGACCCCTATTGATTTTTGGGTCAAGGGGTTAAAGGTCAAGGTCACATTGACCTCTTTGGTAAAAACGGTTTCCAATCAATAACTAAAGAACCCTTAGGCCTAGTAACTTCAAACTTGGTATGGTGATTTGTCATGACCAGCAGATGACCCTTATTGATTTTGGGGTTAAGGGGTTAAAGGGCAAGGTCACATTGACCTTGTAGGTAAAAATGCTTTCCGATCAAAAACTTAAGAACCCTTATGCCTAGGAACTTCAAACTTGGTATGGTGATTGGTCATGACCAGCAGATGACCTATTGATTTTGGGGTCAAAGGTCAAGGTCACATTGACCTTGTAGGTAAAAACGGTTTCCGATCAATTAACTAAAAAAGCTTAGGCCTAGGAACTTCAAACTTTGTGTGATGATTGGTCATGACCAGCAGATGACCCCTATTGAGTTTTAGGCGAAAGGGTCAAAGGTCAAGGTCACATTGACCTTGTAAGTAAAAAACGGTTTCTGAACAATAACTCAAGATTGCTTAGGCCTAGGAACTTCAAACTTGGTATGGTGATTTGTCATGACCAGCAGATTACTCCTATTGATTTTGGGATCAAGGGGTCAAAGGTCAAGGTCACAATGACCTTGTAAGTAAAAACAGTTTCTGATCAATAACTAAAGAACGCTTCTGCCTAAGAACTTCAAACTTGGCATGGTGATTGGTCATGACCAGCAGATGACCCCTATTGATTTTGGGGTCAGAGGTCAAGGTCACATTGACCTTGTATGTTAAAACGGTTTCCGATCAATAATAAGAGAACCCTTAGGCCTAGGAACTTCAAACTTGGCATGGTGATTGGTCATGACCAGCAGATGACCCCTATTGATTTTGGGGTCAATGGGTCAAAGGTCAAGGTCACATTGACCTTGTAGATAAAAACGGTTTCTGATCAATTTACTAAAAACGCCTAGGCCTAGGAACTTCAAACTTTGTGTGATGATTGGTCGTGACCAGCAGATGACCCCTATTGAGTTTTGGGTCAAGGGGTCAAAGGTCAAGGTCATGACCAGTAGATACTTTATAACCCTTATTAATTGTTTGATCACTGGGTCAGAAGTCATGAATAACAACCTTATCACATGACTAATTGGCTGCTGATAGGGGGCATACATGTTTTACAAACATATCTTGTTATTATTATTATTATTATTATAACCTCAGTGGAGTTCCTTGATGTACATGTACTTTAAATTCATCATAAAGGTTCCTGACATCTTATATGGCCGTATATAAATGGCTGTTTGCAGTTACCCTCGCCTAGCAGCTCGGGTTATATTATACAAACAACAATTTATATAGGGCCATATAACCTATCAAAAATCTTTACATCTAGTGATATAACCATTTGTAAGCTTATATATTAAGACTCTCCACAATTCTTTTTATTTGAAGAAAAATGAAAATAACAGCAGCCGTGTATATAGATTGCAATGAATATAGTTACATAAATTATCCAATGAAAATTGATGTTACAAACAATTTATCATGATTTTACATGATACATGACTGTACAACAATAGTTTAATATAGGTTTAAAAATTCTATGCTGGTTATATGGTCGTTTATTAACATTTGTAAGCCATAAAGCATTAATATAGCAAAAACCAGCTATATTATGTCAGATTCATGTTTATTTAAAAGTTGAGACCAACCCATATAACTGACAAATTTATAATACTGCTCAAATGCTGTCTTCAATGACAATTGACAATAAATCATATATTTGCGGCAGTGGTGTTATGAGATAAAGTAAACACCATGTTTGACATTACAAAATCTCAGTACTATGAAAACATAGTTGAGCCGCATCATGACAAAACCAACATAATGGGTTTGCAACCAGCATTGATCCAGACCAGCCTGCTCATCCGTGCAGTCTGATCAGGATCCATGCTGTTCATTTACAAACCCTATAACAAGTAGAGAAGCTGATAGCAACAGCATAGATGCGGAGGCTGGTCTGGATCCATGCTGGTCGCAAAGGCACTATGACGGTTTTGTCATGACGCAGCTCATATTGATTGATATATTTCAGTATACAAGGGCCTCATCGATGCTGTCCTGTGGTGGGATTAGACACCAGTTTTCAATACCTGAAAATGTACAAATGTCCATGTTTACCTCAGATTTTCTCAAGCACTACAAGGAACACCTCAGTGTTTATGGTAAATCATTTCATTACCATTGTATAAGTGTATAAAACTGATTACTATAAAAAAATTGAAGAGAGGATGTGTAAGACCTTAGTGTCCTATTTCTGTTGTTAGATAGTATTCTGTGGGTACTCAGGGTTCGAGTCCCTGTCAGACAGCTCACTGGTCTAACCCTGTGACAATTGTTAAATTAAACCCTTTACCTGCTGTATTTTTTAGCTCACCTGTGACAAAGGTGAGCTTTTGTGATTGCTTTATGTCCATAATCTGTCGTTCATCCATAAACGTTTTTCTTAAACAACATCTCCTCATAAACTGGTAAGCCAATTCCAACCAAATTTCACAGGAATGTTCCTTTGGTGGTCACCTTTAAAAAATTTTCAAAGAATTAAATTCCATGCAAAATTCTGGTTGTCATGACAACCAAAAGAAAAAACTTAAAATATTTGAGTGAGTTTTTTCCAAGTTTGTTCAAATAAAAGCCCTGGGTCAAAATTTGCCCCACCCAGGGGGTCATTGATTTTCCTCATGTATGTAAGTAAAAACTATTATAAACTCCCAATAGCTAGAGCTTAGATATTAAGCAAGAAACAATTTCTAGTGGGTGTCTACCAAGTTTTGTTCAAATCAAAGCCCCAGGGTCAAAATTGGCCCTTCCCCAGGGCTCATTGATTTTCCTAATATTTATATAGTAAAAACAAAAAATGCTTCTTAAAAAATCCCAAAGTGATAGAGCTTAGATATTTAGCATGAAACATCTTCTAGTAAGTGTCTACCAATTTGATAGAAATAAAGCCCTGGGGTCAAAATTGGCACCACCCAGGGGGGGGGGGGTCATTGATTTTCGTGATATGCATATAGTAAAAAATTAAATCTTTTTTTAAAAGACAAATATTCTGACTCCGGTTAGTGATTTAGTGAATCTTAACATAATTATTCTAGCCTGATCACTGATAAATTTTAACATTATGCAATTAGAATAACAAAGGACTGCCCAGCATTCAAGAAGTCCATTTCACAAATTTAGGAGTGTAATACTGAAAAATATTTATTAAGAAGGTCCCTGATTATTTCTGACATTTTACTCCTCCAGCTGGGAAGTACTATGTGACCTTTTGCAGGCAGTATGGGTTTGACTTTACACCTTGAAACAAAAAAACATGAATTTTTTTTTATTAAGGTTCAAAACTTGAAAAACAGTTGTAACTTATATGTAAAATCAAAGATATATTCAAGTGTTTTCAATGCTGGTTGGTCAGACTTGATGAAGTTTTCTTAGGATTGCTGGCTGATTGTTGGAAATATTGCTGGATGCTAGTTGAAAAATGCTGCCTTGAGCTATGAACTTTTTTTACATTAATTGCTTAGTACTTGTTGGTTCTATGGACAACTACGAGAGTGTGTCTGTGAGCTTATAGCTTAAAGCAGCACGCCGCCAGATTCATGCTTATTTTCATGAAAAATTTGAAAATGTGTTTAAGTGAAAATATCGTCAAGAAACCAAAAGAAAGCAATTTGCACATTATCAATGGCACTTTAAACCCATGTAAATTATCAGAGTTAAAATTTTCTGAAATAGGGCCTTCTGGGTTAGTAACGCAGTAGAAATATATCTGAGCTACATTTTACTGAAAAAAAATCAGTCGAAAATTGCACAATTACTTGAATCTGGAGTATTTTAACTTTTCTAACAATGTAAGTACATTTTTCAAAAGTTTGATTTTATTGACATATTTTGGCTCATATGGAGGTGTGAAGCTTTAATTCATACACAATCAAACTAAAAATGTAATATGTGTAAACAGATGTACATGTATATTCTTTTTGAGAGCTTTTGGAAAGAAAAAGGATGACATTAATCTTTAATCTGCTTTATCTGAACAGATCAGGACCCACCTGAGGTGTGTTTTCATCACCAAGGTTACCTGTTTCTGGCTCCTGGAGACAGAGTGGAGTTCTTAGAGAGTTGTGTTAAAATGCAGAGGTAAGTTGAATAATGGGGTAGAATAACAATAGTTTTATGTAGACCCCTTGAATAGTTTTTATGAAGAGATTTTGGTTTTGTCAAACATATAGGAAAAAAATCATTTTTATGCCCTGCATACTTTTCAAATGTGCATGGACTTCTTACATGAGCATGTGCCATGAGCATGTGCTACAAGTACATGCATGTCCTATGTGCATGCTCAATGAATATTGCCTATGAGCATTTCCAATTAATATGTCCTATCAGAAAGGCCTAAAAGTATGTTGAATGGGCAAACCCCAAATGCATGTCCAGTTAGCATGTCCTATAACCACGTCCAATAAGAATGTCCTGTAAGCATGTTAAAAGAACATGTCTATCAGAACATGTATGTCCTAGGAACATGATAGTCCTTTGAACATTTATGGATATTTGAGGATGTCCTATGAGCATCACCTACAAACATTTTTTAGTTTTATAAGCATGTCCATTAAGTGTGTATTATGAGCTTATTATACTATAATCCTATCCTATAACCATTATGCAAAAAACATGTCCTTTATACATTAGTAAGTGTGAGCATGTTGATTTAGCCTATGCTATGACCATTGCCTATATACAGTAGAACTTCTATGAGTCGAACTTCGATTAGTCGATTTTCTCGATGTGTCGAAGTAAAATGAAAGTCCCGATTTTTTCTCTTATATATTCCATATAAAAACCTATTTATGAGTCGAGATTTTATGTGTCGAATTTTTCGATGTGTCGAAGTTTTTTCATGGTCCGTATAGAATAAATCTAGTACACTTTACCACAAATAAGTCGAAGTCCTTCGATTATTTTGACACCTTCGATCTCGAGACATTTTTCACACCTTTTCTTGCCGCGAAGACGATTTCCGATCAACTTAAGTGACACGTGTTAATTACACAGCCAAGTGTTCAAACAACCTTTGAATGCGTTTAAATGTGTGAAAAAATGCTTTAATCGTTACTAATTTAATTGCCGTAGCGGTATTTGAAAGTTACATGTAAACAGTAAGAACAAACATACTTCGTGACCCGGTGTCGCGTGTTAATCACACGCTAAAATATTTACTATAAGCTGGTTAAGTTATTGCCCTTTCGAATTGTTACGCCTTTTGTAACTTCATTGTTTACGTCAACAGGTAGTTCAAATCATAAGCCATGAAAAAGTAATTAACATGTCATATTTATCATTGCATAAAGTAAAATATCAGATTAATAAATGAAAGAAAACATGAAATAGGTTACGTTATATATCTTATAATTAGGGCTAGTCACAGATTGAAATTTTGTCATGGAATTCAGAACGATTCATGAGTCGAAGTCCAGATGTGTCGAAGTTTTTACGCAAGTCCCTCCAACTTCGACTTACCGAAGTTCTACTGTACTTTGCGCTGTGACCATGTCCTATAAACTTGTGCTATAACCATGTCTTTTAAACTTGTGCTATAACCCTGTCCTATAAACTTGTGCAACAACCATGTCCTATCAATTAATGACCATGTCCTAAATACTTGTGCTATGAGCATGTCCTATAAACTTGTAGAATAACCATGTCCTATACACTTGTGCTATGTCCATTTCCTATAAACTTGTGCTATGTCCATGTCCTATAAACTTGTGCAACAAACATGTCCTATAAATTATATGATCATGTCCTAAATACATGTGCTTTGACCATGTCCTGTAAACTTTTGCAATGACCATGTCCTATAAATTATATGATCATGTCCTAAATACATGTGCTATGAACATGTCCTGTAAACTTTTGCAATGACCATGTCCTATAAATTATATGATCATGTCCTAAATACATGTGCTTTGACCATGTCCTGTAAACTTTTGCAATGACCATGTCCTATAAATTATATGATCATGTCCTAAATACATGTGCTATGAACATGTCCTGTAAACTTTTGCAATGACCATGTCCTATAAATTATATGATCATGTCCTAAATACATGTGCTATTACCATGTCCTGTAAACTTTTGCAATGACCATGTCCTATAAATTATATGATCATGTCCTAAATACATGTGCTATGACAATGTCCTATAAACTTGTGCTACGACCATGTCCTATAAACAAGTGCTTAGACCATGTTCTATAAACAAGTGCTATGACCATGTCCTATTAACAAGTGCTTAGACCATGTCCAATAAACAAGTTCTTAGACCATGTCCTATAAACAAGTGCTTAAACCATGTCCTATAAACAAGTGCTTTAAGCAAGTCTCATGAGAATTTTTTATGAACATCTCCCATGATGTTTTTTATGTGATATTTATTTTACAAAACTAATAAGTGTATTAGTACTAGTAACAAGTTTTATGTGAAATATTCCATGTTTTAAACATGATGATCCATATGTATTCAACGCAATTTGATATCAAGATTACTTTGTTTCATATTTGTTGCATTTGTATGAATGATGGGAATTCAGAAAGTTTTTATCTGGCTAGCAATGGTAAGCGAAATTAATGAATGAAAAGATTCTTTTAATTATCCAGATTTTACTAATCTGCAGAGTGACTTATAATTTTAATATTTATAGAGAAAATGGGGCAAAGACAGTTCTACTTTCCAAGTCACAGCTTGCTGAAAAATATCCTTGGCTAAATTTGGATGGTATAGAAGCAGGATCTTTGGGTATGTTTTAATTATGCCACCGCAGCATCTGCGATGCGGTGGCATATAGCGATTCACCTGTGTGTGTGTGTGTGTGTGTGTGTTGTTTGTTTGTTTGTTTGTTTGTGTGTGTGTGTGTGTGTGTTATATAGATTATATAGTGAACTTAAAAAATCTTCTTGTGAAAAACCACTAGTCCAATTTCAACCAAACTAGGCAGGATTGATCCTTGGGTGAAGGGCTTCCAAAGTTGTTCAAAGAATTTAATTCCATGCAGAAATCTGGTTGCCATGGCAACCAAAAGGAATTATAAGAATAGATTTAAAAAATTTTCTTGTAAAGACCCAAAAGGCCTAGAGCTTAGATATTTGCATAAGGCATTGTCTGGTAGACCTCTACCAAGATTGTTCAAATTATAGCCCTGGGGTCAAAATCGGCCCCGCCTGGGGGTCATTGATTTTCACTATTTGTACATATAGTAAAACTTAAAATACCTTTTTGTAAAGACCCATAGGCCTAGAGCTTAGATATTTTGCATAAGGGCATTGTTCTGGTAGACCTCTACCAAAATTGTTCAATTATAGCCCTGGGGTCAAAATCAGCCCTGCCCCGGGGGTCATGGATTTTCACTATATGTACATATAGTAAAAATTTAAAATACCTTTTGTAAAGACCCAAAAAGGCCTAGAGCTTAGATATTTTGCATAAGGCATTGTCTGATAGACCTCTACCCAGATTGTTCAAATTATAGCCCTGGGGTCAAAATCGGCCGGCCCCGGGGGTCATTGATTTCCTCATATTTACATAGTAAAAAACTTATAGTAAAAACTTTAAAAAAATTTCTTCTAGCAATTGACAAATGCTAGAGGTTAGATACTTTGCATGAAACATTGTGAAGTGAACCTCTAGCAAGAATGTTCAAATAATAGCCTGTGGTCAAAATTGCCCCGCCCCGGGTCATTGATTTTCAATATATACATATAGTAAAAAATCAAAAAAATCTTATTGTCTGAAGGTACAAGGCTTAGAGCTTTAATATTTGTTAAATGATATCATCTATAGGTACTCTACCAAAGTTGTTCAAATTTTGCCTCTAGTGTCAAAATTAAAAGTGAACTTTGATATCAGCTGACCTAGATTTTGACAAAGTGTTGTCCTTTGATGCAGTCATGAAATTTTAGGCTATGTGAAATATGACCTTCACCACCAAATTCACTAGACTCAAGTGCATTGATATATTCCTACTCTGATCTTTTATTGAGTTAACAATAGATTTAACCACTAATCTGATAATAAGAATTAGATATGCATTATGACAATCTTCATTGTATAGAAACAAAAAAATCTGTTTCTACACTACTATTTAGTGTGGTATTATTGCGGTGGCATAGCATTTTTCTCAAATGCAATCTTGTTTTTGTTATAGTTTTATGTTAAGATATGATACAGTGGCAGATCTTTTTGTATGTTTTAACTGTGTTATAATTTCATGCAAAGGTTTTAACTGGTTTAAGTTTCATAATAGATATAATATATAGGGGTAGAACTTTAGATAGGTTAAAACTTTACAGGGCAAGATCATTTGGTAAAATTTAACTTTGGTTGTAGGTTTATGTTAGATATATAGTATAGTTGCTAGCTAGGTAATAAGAATTCATTTTAGTTATGGTGACAGTTCTGTACAAAGGATAGTATATAGCTCCTATTGGTAGCTAGGTATTAAGTTTTTTGTTCCCCGCCTTTTCAAAGAAAAAATGGGATATAGAAATAGGCTCCGTCCGTCCGTCTGTCCGCACTACCGAATAGGGATAGGGGGCCATCTAACTGTAAACAGAACAAAAGAGAACAATAGAGTTCATTCCGTAACAATAGAGTAAGGGGCCATTGGCCCTTTATTAAACAATAGAAAATAACAAAAGAAATGGCCCCTTATTCCATTTCGGCGGGACATCCGTCTGTCCGTCTGTCCGCACTACCGAATAAGGATAGGGGGCCATCTAACTGTAAACAGAACAAAAGAGAACAATAGAGTTCATTCCGTAACTATAGAGTAAGGGGCCATCTGCCCTCTATTAAACAATAGAAAATAACAAAAGAAATGGCCCCTTATTCCATTTTGGCCGGACGTCCGTCTGTCCGTCTGTCACATTTTCGTGTCGGGTCCATAACTTTGTCATTTATGAAAGGAATTTGAAAAAACTTGGCACAAATGTTTATTATAATAAGAGGATTTGCATTGCCTATTTGAGGGTATATGTCATGTCCGGTCCATAGCTTTCTTATCTATGAAGGGATTTTGTAAATACTTGCCATAATTGTTCACAATAATCAGACAATGTGTCATGCGCAAAAACCAGTCACCTACCTTCAAGGTCAAGGTCACACTTGGAGGTCAAATATTTACATGTTACAGGGTATATTTCGTGTCTGGTCCATAACTTTGTCATTTATCAAAAGGAATTTGAAATTACTTGGCACAAATGTTTGTTATAATAAGACGATGTGTCATGCGCAACAACCAGACCCATACCTTCAGGGTCAAGGTCGTATTTGCTCATTCAAGGTAAACATTGTCTATTTGAGGATATATGTCCTGTCAGGTCCATAACTTTCTTATCTATGAAGGGATTTTGTAAATACTTGCCATAATTGTTCACAACAATCAGATGATGTGTCATGCACAAAAACCGGTCACCTACCTCCAAGGTCAAGGTCACACTTGGAGGTCAAATACTTACATAGTCTGTTACAGGGTATATTTTGTGTCCGGTCCATAACTTTTTCATAGATCCAAGGATTTTGAAAATACTTGGCACAAAAAGTCACTATAATAAGAGGATGTGTTATGCGCAACACCTGCATCCCTACCTCCAAGGTCAACGTCACACTTAGAGGTCAAAAATTGTCATAATCTGTTATAGGGTATATTTTGTGTCGAATCTAGAACTTCTTCATAGTTCAAGGGATTTTGAAATAACTTGGCACAAATAGTCACAATAATAAGACGTTATGTCATGCACAACACCTGCTCCCCTACCTCCAAGGTCAAGGTCAAACTTAGAGGTCAAAGCTTAACATGATAGATTTTTAAATTCCATGGGTCATTTTATTTTTTTAACAAATTTATTGTTACATTTGCAGATCTAGCATTGATCATAATTTTGGACTGAATGTCCTGAGATCCATTATAACCTCAATCTTTTGAAATAGCACAATTTTATGCTTCATATAAAACTTCCCGAGGCGGGGGACGTTGGTAACTCTGTTACATATTCTTGTTCTATTTAAATATAGCTAATACAATATCCACAAAAAGTAAAATTCTTGAATTCTTTTAATATTTGGGAAAGTTATCCAGGTTGGTGTGTGGATCTACTATTGTGTCCAAATTTACCTTTTTGTGATACAGAAAGGGGCTTATCTTCTGTTTGACATTTATAAACCATATTTTTCTCAATGTCACTTTTTTAAAGAAAAATTCTGCCATGTGCCCTTTGCAAACAATGCTCATGTTCTTGTATATTATTATTTGAGATAAAATACTGTATAAGTGGTTAATTTGAGACGTGGAAATATATGCAAAATTTGCGAATTGAAAATATTGGCAAATACTTGGTAGCGCAGAAATTATTTCATTTTAGGCAAACTTTCTACTATCATTTTAAAACATGTTTTCATACAGCATCTTACATGAATAAATTTCACTGTTCAGGTACTGAGATTAATTTTTTTCATTGCTTGTTTGTTTAAGTTTGATCTTAACAAGTCATTTATGTTTTAATGAAACAATATATGTGTTAATAATATATCAGGTAGTTCATAAAACAAAAGAATGTTTTATAATATGACGAAGAAATGTGTGATCAGATCTACTAACATTGTATATTTTAAATAATTATATAAATAATGTTCTTAACATGTACCTGCTTCATTAATAAAATCACAAAAACAGTATTAAATTCAAGAAATCACATTTTCACAAATATTTCCGCAAAAAGTCTACCTTTTTTCATTAACAAAATTTTTGTGACACATTAATTTCCACTTATACAGTAAATGTTTTAACATTTTAGGTACCTCTGGTGAAGGCTGGTTTGATCCCTGGCAGCTGGTTCACTCTCTTAAAGCCAAAAATATTACAAATAATGTGAATTATTGCGAGGGAAATATTGTAAATATAAGACAAGAGGTAATACAAGTGCCTTTGGAAGACGAAACTACTCCACGAACAAGAATTGTGGGAGTTGATGTAAGTGGCCAACAGTTTTTTTGTTGTTGAAAATTTTTAAGTTTTGGTCTATAAGGGAAGGTCATAATACCATGGGGCATCCGTGGCCGAGTGGTTAAGGTCGTTGACTTCAAACCACTTGCCCCTCACCTCTGTGGGTTCGAATCCCGACAGGGACTTTGGATTTTTTCATGTTAGGAAGCTATCCAGCTAGCTTACAGAACGTCGGTGGTTCTACTCAGGTACCCGTTCGTGCCTGAAATACTGTAAAACACTTATTATTCGCGAGAAATTTATTTTCGCTAATATTCGCGAGTTTTCTAAGACGCGAATTTATATTTCTCGCGAATATTTCACTTTGTCTATACACTTTTCCGAAAATTAACACTATCCGAAAATGCGTACACATGGATATATATCTGCGGGAAAGTATCGAAACCAGTTCTAGTTACATCATGTAGCTATTCAAGTGTTGCAGCATACACATATCGTACAGATTACTAGTATGAAAAAAACAACAGAAAATACGATTTTCAGAATAACTGTTTCGGTATTTGGTACAAATAATTTAGCACCTGCATGCGAGTTGTTTGTAACATATCTATTTATTGTATCTTATTGTATTGTACTACAGTTTAAGCCGGAGGGTAAACATAATCGTTTACTACAGGTTAGGCAAATTACAGTACCGTTTAATTGATTTTCGTCTGCTTGCCTTTGAATGGCTAATCAGTAATACATGACAAACACAGTAACACATATCAAATAATTATCAAACTTTATTGACACATTTTTAGACAGACGGTTTCACTTAACAAGAAGATTAGCAAGCTTTCAGAAAAATCGATACAGTTATAAATGCATTCGTCGCACAATAAACGACGCAAAGTTAGTGAACGGACAGGACAGAAAATATTCGAATGACATCTGGTTTCCGGTTTCACATTTTTCGGGAAGAGGCGAATTCATGTTGACGCGAAATAATTATTTTGGACATTTTGCCTCAAATTCGCGAAATAAGGTTCTCGCGAAAAATAAGTGTTTTACAGTAATGCACGGAAGGGCACCTGAGGTCTTCCTCCACCAGTAAAGCTGGAACGTCGCGATATGACCTATACTGTGTCGATGTGACGTAAAACCCAAAACAAAACAAAACAATAATAATACCATAAATAAATATGTTGATAGTAATTAGTATCAGGTATAACAACAAACTGCAAAAACTATATGGGGATGTTGTTTGAAAGTGTGAGATACATGAAAGGAAATTTCATATATTTATATAGCAGATGTTAAATTGTTCTGGAACAAAATATTACTATTTGTCATAATTATAAGTGTTCATCATACTTAATCACTGAGAACTTTATCAACATTTTTTTCTTTCAATACTTTAATTTTCATCAAAAATTCAAACATTTTTTATCAAAATGAAAAATATGCCCATTGTAGACCAATCCACTTTAAGACTTAATTTGCTGGAATCGAAAGTGGTAAGCCTTTGTCACCAGTATAGAGTAGGGCAGGCTTATTTTGATAGTGCTGAAATACCCTAAACTCTGAATGGACTGTTCCATATTTAAAACAGGATGGTTTAACATGTATTCTCTAGGTTAAGGGTAAATTATATTCATTAATCATAAAAATATGTTTGCCATTGTAGGTAGACCATAAGAATGGGAAAAGATATGGCTGTAATGCATCACTGTTTGTCAACTGCTCCGGGCCATGGGCTGGGGAAATCGCAACAATGGCAGGTGTAGGAACTGGGGAGGTTGGTAATGAATTGCCACTGCCTGTTGAACCAAGGTGCGTTGATTAAGTATTACAATACTGCATGTTTGTTACACCAATGAATGTTACACCAATTTTATTGGCACATTATGCCTCAGAAATCCATATTTTTTAATTCATTAGAAATCTCAAAACATGCGTTTAATAATGGATTTGGAGCACATTAGAAATTCAACAACTGACAAAAAATTGGCTGAATGTGAAGTAATGTTTGTTAAGGTAGTAAAAAGTAGTATTTTGACTTCCATACAAAATACTAATGCACTGTAGTTATACCAAAAATATCAGATCAGTTGTTCCCAGAACAATTATTTAAACTTTGAAAAATGACTTTTAAATAGGATAGCATTTAACACTACAAATCTCAGAAATATAAGTTTTCAATTTAAATCCGAGTATATTTTTCATTGTCTGTTGCAAACCTTTTATTTCCAGTGCTAAAGTTGATGTATGTAAGAAATTCAAATTTTATATTTTAGGTCACAGTGGAGTTCCTTTAAACAGTTCATCATTTACTTTTAGGTGTTTAGGTGTTTTGATTTGTATTATACACTGTGCTATTTAAAATAATAAATTTGTGCAGTGCAAAGTAATAATAATGCGAATAAATAATCATGGTTATTATTCTTCAGAAAGAGATATGTGTATACCATACATTGCCCAGATGGCCCGATGCTGGATGCACCTTTCCTTGTTGATACGTCAGGGGTGTATTTTCGTAGGGAGGGGCTTGGAGGACATTACATATGCGGGGCATCCCCTACAGAGGTAAACACCCATTTGTTACAAAAAATGAGTTTTGCAGGTTGATAATCTTATTTTATAAGCTGAACTATACAAAGTGTTTGGATTACCGCCTCCGTGGTCGAGGGGTTAGAGTCAATGCCTTCTAATCAAGTTACCTCTCTGGCGTTGGTTTGATCCCTGGGAGATGCTTTGGTAGTTTAGGGCGCAGGAAGGTAGTCTAGTACTGGTGTAACTCTCCAGGAACGATGGTTAGGAAACTACCCGCCTATATGAAAGAAATACTGCTGGGAAAAGGCGTAAAAATGAAACAAACAAACAAAAGAAATAAACAAAGAGTTTGGAGAGCTATTGACATGATTGAAGTCAAGCTGGCATAAACGTTGGCATCACACTTTGTTAAGATTTTGGGTTTCTCTTACTTACATCATTAGTAATATAAGTGGTAGAGTTGTGATGGTAAAGTGATAAATTGTGTTTAATCTTTAAGTTGTCTAATTCTAAGAGAAAATCTTGCTTTTATGATCGCTATAGAGTCATCAATGTCATGCAAACGCTTTAATGTTGTCCATTTTTTAAGCATTTTGATAAAAGATATCAACATGAAACTTTGAATACTTGCTTTTATCATGACAAAGTACAGTTGTTAGACAAGGGACATAATTCTTTAAGCAATATTTTTGTAATTACAAACTGGGATAAACACTATATGCGAAGCTCTTGTTTTCATGTTACACCTGCTAATACTTCATCATTTAAGTATAATACAGAATGATATATCACATTTCAGGATAGTGAGCCTGACGTAAATGACCTTTCTGTCGACTACGAGTTCTTCACTGATTTCGTCTGGCCAGCATTGGCGCATAGAGTTCCAGCATTCAATAATTCTAAGGTACATACAATACTTCATGACACTGTATAACCAGATTCAACTGACTGTCAAGTTGATAGCATGTGATGTGTTGAAGTGTAATTTTCTTGTTACTTATCGTATCTCGAAGTTGATAGCATGTTGGGTAAATGGTTATGCCATATTTGAATTTTCATTATGCCCTATCTGAATATTCATTACTCCGTATTTTGATATTCATTATGCCATATTTTGATATTCATGACGCCGTATTTTGATATTCATTACGCCATATTTTGATATTCATTACGCCGTATTTGAATGTTCATTATGTCGTATTTTGATATTCATTAAGCTATATTTGAATACATTCAGTTTTTATATTAAGCAAGCTTCTAGTAGCCCTCATGAGAAAGTTGATATCAGAAGAATATTTAAACTGTACTAGTACTGTTTAATTCAGCTTTGTATTGATGGTAGACTGACTCTTTTCAAATACATGTATGTTTATTTGAATTGGAATTTTATATTTGAATATTTGGCAGATTTTCAAATAATCGTACAATGTATATTTGTTTCTTTCCCTAAATTTACTTCTTTAAGTTAAGATAAGGTCCTTATTATTTACTCTTTTGCTTTAAGTTTTTTGACTTTAAATGTTTTAGCTTGGAAAATCTTTAGGAATCACAGGAATAACCACAACGGATGTTTATGTTTCACTTCACATATAAAATATATAAAATCCTAAACTTTTGTCATAGCAAAATGATTAAAGTTAAGATCGAATCATTTTTTTTTTCCAATCTGAAACTAAAGTAATAATAGATATACGATAAAAGATAAATACATCAAATCAAGTGAGTTATTTCATAAATGCAATTTGAAATTTTTGTTAAAATTCTCAGTTGAAGGCGGCTTGGGCCGGTTACTACGACTACAACACTGTAGATCAGAACCTCATCATCGGTCCCCACCCGTACCACACAAATTTGATCTTTGCCAACGGGATGTCCGGTCACGGTGTGCAGCAGGCGTTGGCCATAGGACGCGGTATCTACGAACTCATTTATTACGATGAATACAAAACTATCGATTTGACAAGGTTTCAATTTGAACGATTTATAAATGAGACACCGATCCGAGAATATGCAATTGTATAGACTGTTTCAATTTACCAACGAATCATTTTCAACGGCGTAGAATGGCTTAAAAAGGATGAGATTACATGCAATTTTAATGATTAATGATTGTGAGCAACCAATAAGTGCTTCGGCTTGGATTTGTTGTTTTGTTCAGATACATATAATTTTGTTCATTGATTATCATGAAATTTGGCCACAATACAAATATTCTTATACAGCCAGTTCCACTTCAATGAATAACAGTCATCTTGGTTAATAATTATATGATAACCTTAGTGCAGTAACAGGTTAAATAATGAAATTACATAAGAAAGTAACCTGGTACATGTACTGCACTAATGTGACAATTTATGTGTAAAAAATATTCGAAAACATGTAAACCCTTTAAGCCTTGCTTGCAGTGTCTCAGGAAAAATGAAAAAAAAATGAATTGGGTGATACTCCAATGAAAATTGATGTTACAAACATGGGTAATTGTAAATTTATCTAACTATATGTTTTAAGATCAAAGATTGGAGGAATCTGAATACTCTTTGATTATCTTTACCATTCACCTTTGCTATGTAAAGTAAGAATAGTTTTGTTTGTTTGTCAATGAATTGTTTGATAAAGAAGTACCTCGATTTTTAGCAACGAGGTACAATCAATTGTGCAACAGTTTAACAGTATGTTGCAATGCAGCATTACCTAATATGTACAAAGTCGAAATATGATATTTTCTAAATTTGATCAAAATATACAATAACGTATTTCAACAATGCACAGAAACCATGTCATTCTTTTTATATTTTGATAAGGAGTTAAGTGTGTAATGCACATTAACCTTTTAAACATATTCAAATGAAAGTGTTAAGTATTTTTTCCATTTTTAAAAATTGCACTATGTTTTGCATTACGAATTAAATGCATTACATTATATTGTAATGTGGGGTCGACCATATCATTATTATACCTTGGGTTAACACTGTACACCAAAGCGCCTCTGTGGTCAAATGGTTATGGTCAGCAGATTCAAATCACTTGCCCCTCACTATTATTGGTTTGAATCCTGTCAGCGATTCTAGTTTCTTTCATGTGAGGAAGCAATCCAGCCAACTTATAGAAGATCTATGGTTTTACCCAGATGCCTGGTTGCGCCTGAATGGGCATCTGATTTGTTCCTGCATTATTAAAGCTGGAAAGTGGCCATATGGGCTTTACAGAGTTAATGAGATCTCAAACCCAACCAAAATCAAAGAACACTATAATCTGCTCTTAGTGAAGAATTAATGTTATTATCTTTCATGAACATGTAATACAATTACCGTATTTAACTTCTAAATGAAAATGTTAATATAATGTTAACTTGCATTTACCAGTTGAGCATTAGGTTTATATACATAAGATTCATTATTAAGTTATAACATCTTAAGCATTTCACATGCTTTATTTGATGATTTGCTTTATTGTAATATGTCTTTCATTCTATCATTTTGCCAAAATATTTTTGAAATCGAGATCTGGGGCATCCTTGGCCACATCTTACAGCTGTACGTTTAAATCCTGACGGGGAATTTGGATTCTTTCATGTGATCAAGCTATCCAGCTAGCTAAAGGACCTTCGTTGGCTCTACTCAGGTGCCCACTCATGCCTGAAATAAATCAGAGAGGGTCACCTGAGGTGTTCCTCCACCAGTTAAGTAGCCACATGGCCTTTACTGTATTGGTGCTACAAAAAGCCAAACAACAAAAAGAAAAAGAAAGGGAGTCTTGTCTGTTCATGAAAGGTAGTAAAACTAAAAGTGCAGTATCCCTTATGTCCCGTAGTAACAGCTTGAGCAGCATACAAACTTAAACACTAAGAAATTTGTAGCATTGATCCTTAAGAACCATTGATCCTGAAGAACTAATCCAAAAGATAATATATACACTTGAGATAGAATTACTTGGACATTTATTACAACAGCCATCTAGCACTCGTCATCTGTTGTTGTGAATATAGGGGAACTTCAGTCTGTGAGTGATTTTGATTGTTAAATTGTTTTTGAGATTTATTTTATGATATCAAGAATTGTTATGTTGTTTATGTGTCTGTTGTAATTATGTGGTGTCATTTATGTCAATATTATTTGGTAAAAAAGAAATGATTATCATAGTCTAATTAAATTCAGCTCCTAAATAACACTAGACTTTTAAGATCTGATGGTCAAATTGGAGGTCAAATTCTCGTTACCTTTCAATGAGGCAACCTGAGTTGTCATTTTCTTGAAAGTGGATGAGTTTTAATTGTAAATTAAGAAGATCGTAACTTTTTGTGCGCCATGTTAGTGGCGCGCATTTAGATTTACCCTTGTCCGTCCTTCCGTCCTTACACTTTTGTTTCGCACGTAACTCAAAAAGTATTTGACCTAGAGTCATGAATCTTTACAGGAATGTTGATCAGCATGTGTAGTTGTGCACCTGGGTATTTTCATCTGGATATTTTTAGTATTTTCAGAGTTATTGCCCTTGACTTAGTAAAATTTTGCAATTTTCAACTTGTGTCGCATGTAACTCAAAAAGTGTTTGACCTAGAGTCATGAAACTTTACAGGAATGTTGATCAGTATGTGTTGTTGTCCACCTGGGTATTTTCATATGGATATTTTTAGTATTTTCAGTGTTATTGCCCTTGACTTAGTAAAATTTTGCAATTTTCAACTTGTGTCGCATGTGACTCAAAAGGTATTTGACCTAGAGTCATGAAACTTTACAGGAATGTTTATCAGCATGTGTAGTTGTGCACCTGGGTATTTTCATCTGGATATTTTTAGTATTTTCAGAGTTATTGCCCTTGACTTAGTAAAATTGTGCAATTTTCAACTTGTGTCGCATGTAACTCAAAAAGTATTTGACCTAGAGTCATGAAACTTTACAGGAATGTTGATCAGCATGTGTAGTTGTGCACCTGGGTATTTTCGTGTGGATATATTTAGTATTTTTAGTGTTATTTCCCTTGACTTAGTAAAATTTTGCAATTTTCAACTTGTGTCGCTTGTAACTCAAAAAGTATTTGACCTAGAGCCTTGAAAAGGATTTGACATAGTCATTAAACCTTATGTGCAGGTTGCTCAGCATATTTAGATTTGCACCTGGGGTTTCGCTTGTGGATTTATCAAGTATTTGTAGAGTTATTTCCCTTGACTTAGTAAAAAGATTGACAGAACAGTGGCGCAGTGGGGGCATCCGTGTCCTATGGACACATTTCTAGTTTCAGATTGTGATCATCATATTTTAATGCTTGAGACTAAAAAAAGTGTTGGAGCACCACACTTTATACATCTACCTTATTTTGGTATGTAACGAACAAGGTGCTAAATGAATGTTTGAATGCTAAAATTTCACCTTTTCACCCGCCGAAATGCTTTTTAAGACATCCTACTCATCTGTTCAATTTACATTGTATATGCCATGTATGCAGTAATGAATGAAAATTGAAAGATTTGGCAATAAAATTGATATTTGTCTATTTTGTGATCATGATTTCTGCAAGCCTTTAAAGGTACTGCTCCAACACTGTAGTGAGTTTAACTTAGTTAAATCCTATTTTAATATATCATATTTGTTTCTGTTATCAATTTGTTTTCTAGTATATTTAGTTAATGTTTGTTAGTTAGCACTAATAAAATTAATTGCCAGGTGCTCAGACACAGCAAAGCCACACAACAGGGTTGAGTTATGATTAGGCCACACAACAGATTTAGTTGAATTAATGCTGACTCAACAAACATTTGTCTACAAATTAAGTGGTTAAAATTTTGTTTTGAATCTGAATACACTGTGAATGTAGTATTCTGATTGAACAGGATAATATTTAATTACTAGTTAATACTGATGAAATCAATAAGATATACCAATGAATTTTGAAGAAAATGAAAATGGAAACAAAATATGATATCAACCACTTGTAAGTTTTTATTGAAGAATAAACTAAATTATATAGTGGTTTCAATGTTTTTTTTGCCATAACTATTACTGTGTTAAAATTTTACCATAGTCTGTAAAGATATGATATTACACTGCAGGCCTGTTATAACTCTCATGGCAGATACACTTATTAAAGGTCATGTTTAAACTTTATTTTTTACTTTCCAATCATTGAATATTATCATATTTGTTTCTGTTTTTGTGTCGTATCTACAGAGTAATGGCGACATATATGGATCACTTCTCTGTTGTCCGTCCGGCTATCTGTCTGTCTGTTCATCATAAAACTTGACGGGACTACCTTTCAAAAATTCCCAGTGCAATTTGATCCAAACTTTACAGGAATGATCGGTACCAAGTCTACATTTGCATGTCTTCGGCATTTTTTATGGTTCAATGATTGTCAAGTTATGGCCCTTGAATGTTTTTCATTTTTCAAATTTGTCCGGATTACTCCTCTTATACCACTAGTGCAAGTTCAATGTAGCATTACATGATGGATTGATAACTCAAGTACTTATGCATATTACACAGGTTTTGCTGTTGAATTATTTTTAACTGAGTTATGGCCCTTGACTAAAAAAATGTGTTTTGCTCAGTCAATAATTTTTATGTCTCCTGCTGTACTATAGGGACAACATGCAATTGGCTATGATGAGGTGACACGTGATCAAGGATTACTCTTGTTATGGTGAATGCATTGTTCATTCGCCTGACCTTTTATGTCTTTACTCATTTATTATTTATTCAGTTTTATTTAACCTTTAACCGGCTCATTCTTAATATTAGAATATCAAGCCTGGTAAAGGTTGAACAGTTGTTAGTATTTTATATAAAAAAAAATATTTAAATGATCTTGAATTGCTATTTTAAGGTAGTTCCTGTTCTAAGATAATGTTTTAACCAAGTTAAGGGCATTCCTGTTATTTAAAAATATGTTATTGAAATGTAATTTTATATGATTAACTCATATTAAACATATGATAAACATATTATGCTTGTAGGACAGTGTTTGTTTGAATTGATACTAAGTGCTGAACTGTTTTACTCTTTCTTATGTTTTTGTCATGCTTTTATTTGTTAGTAAAGTACATGTATCTTAAATGCCTGGAAGATTTGTTATTATTTTAAAGAGGAAGATATAATATCTGAGAATGTCTCTATATCTCAGAAATATATATATCTCTGTAATTAATAAAGCTAAATATTTGTTTTGGATGATTTTTTTTATGCTTTAAAGCCCCTACCTCCATCCCCAGCTTGCCATAGACTGTGCACTGTGCCTTCAAATGTTCATGACCAAGCATTATTTTGAAAAGATGCTACATGCTTTAAAGCTGGAGGTTTCGCCATTATTGGCTTTATAATGTTACGATAAATTTCATTCCTGAAGGATTATCATGAAAATCTGCCCTCTTTCCCTCCCATCGAAGAGAATCTGCCACGTTGTCAGCAGAATAAAAACATATTTTCATTGGTGCTTCAGGTAAAACTTATATGCCAAATTACATTTGTATTTCATGAGAGCTGGGATGTACTATAACGTATCGTATGTTCCAGATGAGAGTAACAACTCGGAAGTATTAATGTATGTTAAGACGTTCGTGGCCACTTTGTTAAAGTTGTTCACTTCCAAACATTTGCCCCTCACGGCGGTGGTAGTAAGGTTTCCAGCTATAGCTTACGGAACGTGGGTGGTTCTACTTTATCCCTGAAATAATAAGTGGAGAGAGGGACACCTGAGGTCTTCAACCCAAGGCACAGCCGGAATGTCCCCATATGATCTTCACTTTGTTGGTGCCAACCCAACCAAAAAAAAAATATCATTCTGTTTGATATTCTGAAACTGATTAGAATAGGAACTACAAATGACCTATTGATTGTTATACATGTATATTGTTGTGACATTTTGCTTAAAGCATTAATTTCTGTACTTTTCAGAGGCTCAAACTGAATGTGCAACTTTGTTGTTTTGTGCCTTTAATGTTTCCAGTTTATATGTATTATATATATGTAGACTTTTCGAAAACCTTTAAATTGTCGAGGTGGACTTAATCAGTTTTTTAAAGCTTGACTTAAAGTAACTCGTACTCTGTTTAGATGTGCGATTACATTTCAAATTTGTGAAATTCGCATACATCGAAGGACTTGTCTCTGTAGGTCAGAACCCCATTAGAGGAGATAGATTCTTTAATTTTATTGAGCTATTCAGCTGCCTTAAAGATAGATAAAGATTGTATCCTATCGTTTGTATATGAAAATGATGGTCATGTGGAAAGAAATCCCCCATTGCCGATTTCGTTAATTTCAGAGCAGAAAAATTGTTCTGCAAAGCATTCAAGTTTTGGGTGTAAAGTTTGTAGAAATGGTAAATTCGCATAAACTGATAGTATCCCGAATTTGCGAGGGTTAAAAGATTTACTTTAACGAAACAGTTTAAAATTTACTGAAATTAATGCGCATGCACTGCGCATTTATCCTTATGTGACTTACTACGCGATTAATGTATGTTTGAAATCGCACGCTGAACTCGATCCGTTCCTTGTAGAATAATTCAACATCGTTAACTGAAACGCCATGAGTGCTTTATTAGTGTATATACATGTATGTTACTCAATCACCCATTGACCTTGATACTCCTCAGTAACGAATACCAGTACTTCTAAGTTAAAATTATTTGCATACTTTAAAAAATCTATAGATATCTTAAAAGAAATGATAGAGTATTCATGCATTTTAAATAAGTTATGGTAGTTTTGTTGTCCATTCAGGAGAACAATGTTTTGTAATCAAAGTGCGTATTGTTTATCATAGCTGACATTTTCTGTATATATTTACATTTAAATGAGTCTTTGATGAAAGACTATAATATAAAAGTATCATTTTTTATGATTGGTGAGTCTTCATCATTTAAAAATGTAATTAATTATGACTTTCAATGTCATTTATATCATAGGTATTTTGAATCAACAAAGTGGCGAGGTGTCACCACCACTCGTGAAACTTAAAATGTTTTAATGTTTGGTTGGTATGAAAGCCAGGCACTTTTGTTTCTTTAAATAAACCCATTATTCATGACAATAGCTTTATTATCGTCATATTATTTGTTTATCTGTTTACATCAACATTGACAAAAAGGGGTGTCGATAATTCTTATATAAAAGCATACTATTTATCGCCTGAATCTTTAACCACCTAAACAGCATAGTCGTTGAGTGTAGGCGTCGTCAGTGTTGAGACCGTGGTTCGATTCTTGAAAAAGGCATTTTTTTCTTTTCTTTAAATTTATTTTTTGTTTTTAGATATTTTTCAAAGAACTGGATTTTAGTTCCTCGTGAATTTATGTCACACAATACTATTTGAGAGGCAACACAGTCGTTATTATAGTGATAAATGTGGTTTTAAGAATATAAATTTAAATTGTACAAAATATTAAATTAATCGCAGGTTTATAAAAGAGAATATGAATATGTTTTCTGAAAGTAAAAACCATACAGACATAAAAAAAAGTATTGCACAATTCCAGATTTGAACTCGTAACATGAACTCTCCATACATGTTGTAATCTGAGCTCTCTAACCACTGCGCTACTCGGATTTACGTGTCTGCTTCTTTATTGCAGTAAAGTGCAAAATATAATAACTGAATAATTTGCACAACCCATTATATTATAATGGTTTGAACGATTAATGTAAACGTTATCGTGTTCGACTTATACCAGCATTGATTTGTCATTTATATTATCAGATAATTGATAACAACCACTCGTGTAGAAAATGTAAAATTTACTGTTATACTACATGACATCGTTTAACAAATAATAGCACAAATATATACACTCATCTAGAACAAAATATCACTGACAGCAACCGGTATAGCCAAAGACAAAAATGCTGCAACTTCCTTACAATAAAAAAACTATTAGGAACGTAAGATGATATAACACTTTATAATACAATATATTAAAATATGAATTCACAGACTCGATTTTACTACTTCAAAAATCATCTGCATCTATTCCAAAAATATTAAATTATCTATCGACGTTTATGCATTGTTTAGTTATCGCTCTAATATGTTAATATTCATTGCTGTCTCCATAGATATGAAATTTTAGCTTCCTTTTTGTAAAAAAAACAGTTATTTATGGAAAGGTAACTTTGTTGTCTCATCAGTATGCAATCTCTTTTTCTGTTATGTAGCATACTAATGTCCCTCTTCATAAGTCAATAAACAACGTACACAAGTAGCTAAATGTTTATGTAAACCTAGTCATACATTAGGCATCTCAAATAAAGATAATGACAAATACCAACTTCAGAAGAAGTCTACTGGATTCTGTTGTCAACGTGGACAGGACCATCGACACACGTGTTTGTGTATGGATCAAAATAATCTTGTCCTGTAGAAGAACAAGGCATTCTGTGCATCCTACCAGACGTGTCACATTGTAAGAACATGTGAGGATGTCCCCTATATCTGAAATGTGTTCTTCCTTCGTCAAGATTAATTTGTGTGCAAGGCTCACTAAATGGGATGTCAGAATAATCATACATTTTAAGGCGAGATGGGTGAACCGTGAATATATCATTGAGAATTCTACGATTTCCTCCTTGATTTGATCCAGTTTGTCTGTTTAATTCTTGCTGTCTGCCTGTTGAACTCGATGAACCTGTCTCAATTATTTGATTCCAAGTATTCAGAAGATCTTGCATTGTCCCAGTACCCTGTCTACCTCCTTGAATCGACCCTTCAATAGTTATTGTATCAGTTCTTACGGTTCCGGATCTGTCAATCGTGTTTGTTCCAAGCTGTCCATTAAGTCCTAGCTGATTTCTTATGTCAAATGACGACATTCCACCTAATCTAGAATTTGTGCCTCTAATGTCGGTCATTCTGCCGTTGTTGGTACCACCTTGTGAACGTCTTATGTCTACCATATCTGTTTTCCTTGTCCTTGTATTTTGACTGCCGAAATCCACCAACCCACCATCTAATACACCTTGTCCAGAACCAGAACCAAGACCATTTGTTCCAATAGGGTTACCTCGAATGTCAACCATATCCCCAGCCCTTTGTCTGCCACGAATATCCACCATACGACCAGACAAATCTGTTGCCGTACTGCTCATACCTCCGGTTCCAATTCCTCTTATATCAACTGTATTTTTCATTCCAGAAGCTTGTCCGCCACGAATATCAACCATTCCAGCATCCCCAGAACCAGTTCCAGTGCCTCGAATATCCATCATTCTACCGTTTACGCCCGTCCCAGATCCTCTTATATCTACAAACTGACGTCCAGTTTCAAATCCTCGTATATCAATCATATTATTTGTTTTAGATGCTCTTCCGCCTCGTATGTCTAGCATATTCGAACCACTTGAACCAGTTCCAGTGCCACCAGACAAATCTGTTCCCAAAGAACCGCTTATATCTCCGATACCACTCGTACCAACCCCTCTTATGTCAACCTTAGTATTTTTTCCAGATAATGAACCACCTCGTATGTCTACCATACCGGCACCACTTGAACCTTGATTTCTTATATCTACCATACCTCCAGACAAATCCGTGCCCGAGGAACCACCGATTTCTCCAATATTTCCTGTTCCTGCACCTCTAATATCAAGCATTTTATTTGTTTGAGATGCTGTTCCGCCCCGTATATCTACCATACCTCCAGACAAATCCGTGCCCGAGGAACCACCGATTTCTCCAATATTTCCTGTTCCTGCACCTCTAATATCAAACATTTTCTTTGTTTGAGATGCTGTTCCGCCTCGTATATCTACCATACCTCCGCTACTAGAGCTAGTTCCATCTCTAATGTCTACCAAACCACCTGTCGAACCAGTTCCAGTACTGCCCATATTTCCAACCATACTACCTGTACCAACTCCTCTAATGTCAATCATATTATTTGTTCCAGAGCCTAGATCTCTGATATCAACCATACCACCTGACAAGCTTGTTCCCGAAGAACCTCCCATATCTCCAATGCTACCAGTTCCAACGCCTCTAATGTCAACCAAATTATTTGCTCCAGAAGCTGACCCTCCCCTTATATCAACCATACCTATACCACCAGAACCAGTTCCAGTACCACGTATATCAATCATACCACCTGATACATCAGTTCCCGTTCTGCTAATATCTCCAACCATACCGCCTGTTCCACCCCCTCTTATGTCTAACATAGTATTGGTTCCAGATGCTGATCCGCCCCGAATGTCTACCATTCCGGTACCGCTTGATCCTTGATTTCTTATATCTACCATATCACCCGGCAAACCGGTTCCAGAAGAACCGCTGATATCGCCTGTACTACTTGTTCCAACCCCTCTTATATCAATCATATTGATGCCACTAGAACCTGTTGCACTACCATCAAACATACCACCTGACAAATCTGTTGGGAAAGAACCGCTCATATCACCCCCGATACTGCTTCCCACACCTCGTATGTCAACCAAATTTTTTGTTCCAGATACTGTGTTGCCTCGTATGTCTACCATACCATTACCGCGGGAACCAGATCCCATGTTTCTGATATCTACCATACCACCAGACATGTCAGTTCCAACTCCTCGAATGTCTACCTTAGAGATTTCTCCAGTTGCTTGGTCTCTTATATCAATCATTTTACCAGAGGCATCTGTTTGCAAACCACCATCGATTGATCCACCACGAATATCAACCAAGTCTCTTGAACCAATTCCCTTAACTCCTCGAATATCAATCATGTTAGCACTTGTTCCACTTGTACCTGCATTTCTTATGTCCACAAATTCGGCCGTACTAGGATCGGTAGAAAGTGATTTCCCCCGAATATCTATGAAGTTTGTACCGGAACTCTGACCCAGAGAACCCTGTCCAATCGAACCAGATCTATCACCACTTACTGAGCCTCTTTTTATGTCTAATGATCCACCGAAGTTACCCTGTCCATCAGTATTCAATTGCCCTCCTAGTGAGCCGCCTCGGAGTTGTGTAGATTTATCAAAGGATGCAGTTCCGTCACCTTGTCCAATTAAATTCGTTTCTCTATTAAGCTGACCACCCCTTAAATCGAATGTTGTAGTCGATCCTTGGCCAGTAGGATTTGGCATTACAGAAATTGAACCACCTATTCCTCTAGATGTTCTGTCAATAGTGAAACCACGATTGTCAGTCTGGAAGCCCATATTCGTAGTCTCACTATTGTCAATTGCAAAACCTTCATTACCATGATTTTGTCTAAATCCAAACATATAATTTTCACAAAAACTACTCAGCACTTGACCTGTAAAATCCGCATATGGTCGACATCGTTGGCTTTCCTCATGAAAAGCTTCGCCTCTTAAACAATTAACTTCATGTGCGCGACCTTGTAAATCACAAGTGAGATAGATTGAAGGGTCGCAAGGATGACTGTATAAATAAGTAAGATCTGTTGTTGGCCGATTACATGGATTTAGTAGATGTGGCAATACACACGTAACATCCCATTTACTCCACACTTCTCCTGGTGTACATATTCTTTCCCAAGGCTTTCCCCAGATGTCACAGTGAATGAACCTTGAGAGGTTTCCAGGGAACGGGAAGAACAACTTGTCTGTAAAAACACAAATTTCACTAACTGTAGAACAACAGCATCTCTCCCTTAACAAGCTTTAAGTAAAGCGATTCAGGTATAAATTCTGCTCTGTATGCTCTTTTTATGTGTATATAGCCTTTATTCTATATGTTTGTATTGCTATTTATTCCATTACCAATAACAAATCGGAAGGCAGCAATTTTTAATTATATTTATCTCATTCACACAAACGAAAAAGTCAGTTATTCAATGATCTAGACTAACGATGAATAAATATTGGACACAAATTCGTATGACTCTCTTTCCCTTGCTCCTGTTCTTACATGGTTAAGTCGTTGCACTGTTCTGTAATGAAATATGTGAAGTTTTTTAAGATGCTTCCTTCACTAATTCTTGTTTTGTTTATGGAAGCAAGGTCACTCTAGTGGTCCAAATATAAACGTGATTATCTTTAAATTTCACTTTTGTTTACTTCTTAATTTGGAGCAGTGAGTTTTCTACATTTTCGACTCAGACAAAATAGGTTAAACTTTTTTCTTGACAATGTTATTGTCGATATTAAAGATTGATTTTTTTTCAGGTTTCTTTTGAACCTTTAAGGGGTGACCTTGCCAGTGCATATTGATAATGACAGCAGATTTAATACACCTTTAATCGGTTTACGCAGCTTGTATAAAGATCAAGTAATATATCAATATAATTATGTGTTCTTTATATGATGAATGAAATTAAAAAACTGAACATAATGTTAACAAATGTAAGCATTGTCACTAAAAGAAAAAGGCTTTCTATACATAATTCATTCCCTTCTTTCATCTTTTTATATTTTCTAATGTTTTCCCCTTTATACATCAACTGTCGTTCATTTGCAGATATTTATGTATCTAATTATATATGCATTTCTTAATATACTATGTCAATCCTAAAACCGAATTTTCATATTTGGATCATCAATGTACCATTTAGAATAAGCGCACATGTTTTGTTTCCAAAAAGTTTGGTTCGTGTGCTGGTTTAATATATTTTTGAATCAGGGTTGTGTGAACAGAGGAGCAAGTCGGAGCAATGTCTATTTCTTTGACAAAATGTATAACGATTAATCAGATACAAATGTAACACATTTAGTCATTGTAATTTTGTTCAGGATAATATTGGTTCGAAGTTTATAATTCTAGATACTGATCTAACGGAATTGACTTAAGATTTGAGAACACATTAGGTATATATTTCAAAGTTATAGTTTTGTGCAACTATGCCATTCAATTTCTACTTTGTTGCAAATAGATGAAATTATTTCGTAAATGTATTGCTTTTGGAAAGAATGGTTAAGTGTTCAGTTCAATATGACCGCATGAAATCATAAAAAGGTAGACTTACTGTTGAGAATTGCTTCTCTTGTGCAAACATTTCGGATGGTTGGTGGAAGGGGAACCTCACAAGATGCTGTTAGTCCGGCCTCTGCACCGATACATTGGCTACAACCCTCATGGAAAACCTTTAAACATTAAATACATTTTTTATTACAAGTCATAAAAAAACAAATTTAATGATACTCTAGGTAAAAAAGCCTTAAAACATGAAATTTGAAATTCTTACAAAGAGCAAGTAAAGCACTTAAAATTGAAAAATCTACAAAACATTTTTAAGAAATATACTACGAATTAAAAGGAAAATCGTTTATTCGTGTGAATATTAGTTTTTAGCCCAATGTCAGCAAAGAAGTGTTGCATAGCTTTTCATTTTGGGGCAATTTTGCACAATAAAAATGACTATTCTTGCCAAAAAAAAGAACAACAAAAAAAAAAAACAACAACAACAAAAAAAGACAGGTGAATGAAAGATCTGATTATTTTGTTAAGACCGGCATAAAATGGAACACAAATCTTTGAAAATATTTCAAGTCCCTTAAAAACATCATCATCAACAACAACAACAACAACAACAAACAACAACAGCAAATAATAATAATAATAATTATAATGAATGATTTTAGACTGGGTTTAGACAAATGTTTAAAAAATCCAACCGCATCTGCCACTATCGTCTTAAGACAGACTTAGGTCTGTTAGTTTTTACTGTTTTTGTTTCAAGTTTATTGAAATAATCCATAAATATAGATTGGGGAAATAAAATTATCACACATTATTTTATTCTTTATTATAGTCTCATCTATACACATATATACATATAAAACATTTAAAACATTAAAATTGTATATAGCCATTCTCGAAAGAATTACAAGAGACTTGTTATAGCTAATACTAAGAGGGATAACTCCACAATCTTGTAGATTTACCTCCCTTATTTATGTATATTCACATTCTCAACATTTACATCATATAAATCAATTGCAATAGGATGACATAATTGCACATTGTCATTATTAAAAAGTTATTTGAGACATTTAATTACAAAATTATAAGAGACTTTTTACATTCTAAAAGTTTGATAACCTCTACTGACCTTGTCTTAAAAACTTCCATAAGAAATTAACTTCCATAAGAAATTAAATTGTAAAATACTAAATATTGTAATAAAAGCACTATCAAGCAATATAAAAAATGGTTTTACAAAATCAGTTGTCACTCATGTTAAGACAATGGATGAACTGTTCAGTAGTGATTATCAAAACATAGGGATAAAACTTATTTATGGAATTAAAATATATCATATTCTATATTAAAATTAAAATGTGTAACAAAAAAGAGAATATAAACTGTGTAACCCACCTCGTATTGTGGACACTGAACAACGTAAAGCTTGCCCATCTGACCGCACATCAAGAATTTGGATTTATCAAAAGGGTGTGCGAACTTCGTTATGTTCATATCAATGTTGTTCTGTGTGCACGGGTTTTGAAAATTCCATTGTTCTGTAAGAAGAGTAAGATGATACAATATTATAAAATATTAAAGAGATAATGTCTAATTTGAAAAGTTTCACTAATGATCGTAATGGTGTAATGTAAAGCAAGTTGTTAACGTTTTGTCACGGCATTCTTTACAAAAATACCTTTGGAATAAACAGATTTCATTAGCTCGCCTGTTTCGGAGATACAAAAACACAGGCTATATATTATGATCGCTGCGGCGTCGTCGCCGTCGTTGTCATCTTGACTTTAATATAGACCATTATTTAAACATTTAAAAGTTATCAAAACGAAACATGGAATATTTGCTTATCACGATAAAGTGCAGTTGTTAGACTAAGGGCATAACTTAGAAAGCCATATTTTGGTGTTATGCCCCCTTTTTAACTTAGAATTGTTAGCAGACGAGCGTAAAAACTGCATGCGGTTCTCTTGTTTTTCTTTTTTCTTTTGTATTCCAATGACTGCTAAAAATGAGAAGAAAGATCTCAAACAGTTCAAGCATATACCAGTTACGTAGCCTTTCACAATTAAGAATCATTGAAAACAATTATTGTTAAACGTGTAAACGTATTGTGACCAACCAAAATATGAAAATAATTTTTGAAATTGAGAGTATTTTTACCATATAGGCTAAAAACAGTCTGAAGTCTTTCACAATTAAGAATTATGGAAAACAATTATTGTTAAAAGTGTAAATGTAATTTTTGACATTATTCACTCAAAAAACAACAAAATATGAACATGTTATATGGAATTGAGAGTATATTTACCATATAGGCTAAAATAAGGTTTGAAAAGGGACTTGGAAAATGGTCCTTTTTTTAAGAGTCCTTCATACGGAATATGCAATGTTCACTGTATTTGTCTTTCATCATAAAATTAATCAGGAATTGTTGAAATAATTAAATTTTGCAGTACCTTTACAATGATCTGGATAATCAGCAGAGCAGACCAGCCCTCGTCCTGGTACATTTCTGCAGTTAATTTTCACCTCTGAAATAAAAATAACCAAATTATACCATTATCGTAAAATAGTACAAAGAAACGAATCTTTCTCTACATTATTGCAGCTTATTTCTACCTCTGAAATAAATCAACATTAACAAGAACAGCACGGTCTATACCAAATTTTCACAATGTATACAAACGCATAAAGACATATAGCATCTATTACACTTTTGCTGTTAATTGTCACCTCTGTAACAAATTGCACGGATTCATGAGATATAATAAAATTATATAAAAGACACAAATTTACAAATACGATTCAGTATTAGGGGCACTTTTCACCACAAGTATATATTCATTAACAGTTTTACTAATCAAATACTATTCAGTATTTGGACAAGTACATATTACATGTATTAGTTTTTCAGTTTAACTTATCAAATGAAATTCAGTATTTTGGAACACTTGTAAACACAATCACAAATAAATTAACAGTTTAAAAAAGTATTTGGAGCACTTTTAAACATATATAAGTACATATCAATTAACTGTTTAACAAGGCGCTATACATTATAATGAGAATGAAGCATGGTAAACGATTTTGAACTGACATCATTAAATATACGTATAGCTTTAAATAAAAACAAGTAATAAAAAACTGTTGAACCTAACTGAAATGACGTTGCAGTATTTACAAAATAATAAATAATAATAATAATAATAATAAAAAAAAAAAAAAAAAAAAAAAAAAACAAACAAACAAAAAAGACATAGGAATTCATATAAATATTATGATTGACTTGTTTAGTTTTTAGGCGGACAATGTACGATACGACGACTATATAAATGTTTGTTACATATAAGACAATGACTTCTGGGTGCAAATTGATCAATAATATGACAAAGATATATGTGATATAACAACATAAACAATAGTATTGTTTTTGACACACTTTTTTGTGGTTTGGTTTATATTAATAATTACTGAAATGAAAACCTGTTTCGGTTAATAATCTATCACTGGCAATTTTGTATGACATAATTCATCAAAGTTGTTGATAAGTAAATTACCACATTAAATATTAGTAACCAATCATGATCAATCAGTTTTATGAGATTTTTGAAGTTATATCTGATAGAAAATAAATATTATGTGGAAAATAACAAGCTGGAAAAAAATAATCGATGGATTCTTTGGATGGCAAACAATAATACTAAAGATATAGATAAATATTTATAATACTGCGCGTGTATTCCTATGAATTTCAGAAAATGTTATATCGTTTTGTAAATACGAATTTATAAAATGCTGTATTGCATGTCTTTTATGTTGGTATAATGATTGTATGTGAAATAAGAAAAAAAAATAATGATAATTTTGATATTAATAAAAATAATAATAATAATAATGATAATAATAATAATAATGGTAATGGTAGTGATAATGATAATTATAATAATTATAATGATAATGATGATAATTATGATGATGATAATGATAAAGAATTATATCATTTCTTTCGTAGTATCATTCGTTAGTGAAACGCTTTAAGAATATACCTTATGTGATATTTAAAGTCCTTTACAGAATGAACTCTAGGTTATAGCAGGTCTATCAAAAGAGTTGTTACAATATTTTAATCGACTGTTTCTTTAACTGTTAATCAATTGAAACCATTAAACCACACAATATAATATAAATGGGCTAGCACATTCAGTCGTTAAAACGCAAAACAACAACAACAAACAAAAACAACAAAAAAAAAAAAAAAAAAAAAAAAAAAAAAAAAAAAAAAAAAAAAAAAAAAAAAAACGTTATACCTATAGTGGTACCATAACCCATAATCGAGCTCCCGTCAAATCCCCCAAAACCACCACTAGCTCCTTCAATTACTGTACCTAACCCATCATTTACCACAAAAGTACCTCCCTGTCCATTGACATACCGTATGTTAAATGTTATAACAAGGATAACGAAATATCCGTCTTTAAACATTATTAGTAACAATTAAACTGGTACTTTTTTATTACTTAATGTCTTTTTATTAAAGCGAGAAGGGTTATTATTTTACGCCCTCATGTCATTTGTTTTACATGATTGATTTGTCATTGTTCACTGTAGTGTTTCTGGCTCGATATGTAATCACTATATTCGTAACGCATGCTTTTGTATTAACACCTAACAACACGCAGGTACTTTAAAAAGTATGTTAAAGGTACATTATGCCTCAAAAATGAATAAATATTTTTTATAATGTTTAAGTAATAGAAAGAGCATCGAAACACGAGGCTATCTGATTTGTACGAGGGGGCGTAGCCCCCACTGGGTATTAATCAGATTGTCAAGTGTTTTGATGTTCTGTCGCTTTTGACATAACAACACGTCCCCTGCTGTCACAATATGAAACCCCAGAAAAAATTAACCAATGAACGAGCATCTGAATATAATATTTTTATCTCATTTCCATTCTCTGTCGTCACAATAAGTAAACCCAAGCAAAAATGACCCCCAATCAATGCACATGCTCTTGAGTGCGGGTAACTAATACCTGCACTCCAGTTAACGCACTTTGCATGTATTTGTATACGATTTAGCTCTGACACATTTTCAACAAAAAGGTCCCCAAACTATGATACAAATATTGGTTAGATAATTAGAACCTGAAGAAAGTAACGTTGAATGTGTGTGAAATTATTTGTCATAAAAATAGCAAAATGTAAAATAAGTCGTACTTTTGACTTACATACAAAATACTAAAAAACACTGGAACTGAACTTATTGCCAAAATGCTATGGAAGCAAATTTATTGCAAAAATGCCAAGGTAGCAAACTTTTTGCAAAAAATGCTATGGAAGCAATCTTATTACCAAAATGCTATGGAAGCAAACTTATTGCCAAAATGCTATGGGAGCAACCTTATTGCCAAAATGCTATGGAAGCAAACTTATTGTCAAAATGCTATGGGAGGAATAGATGTCTCTACTCTATAGAAAATGAGTACTCTTTTCAAAACTGTAAAAAAGACACCAGAAAAAAGGATTTAGAATAATGAAAATTATAGCATTTTTTCTAAGTCAATATGCCTTAACACAAAAATTCATATTTTCTAATCCTTTAAAAAAGTCAAACATGTGTTAGATAAGATTTCAAAAAGTAATTAAGAGTATGTAACATGTTAAAGTACAGAAGGAAGTAGCGTTCAACATGCAGTAATGTTTCATAAAGGTAGCAAAATGTAAACGAAGTAGTATTTTACCGATTGCTGACAGTACAAAAGCAAAAGGTAGTTCGTGTATATGAAAAAAATAGTATAATTTCGAAAACTGTAAAAAAAGTTTTGGAGAAATAAAATTGATAGCATTTCTGAGGCATATTTGGCCTTTAAATTAAAGGCCCCTATTTAATAAAGTTAGTATCTAGTGCTTAGATGTTTAACAAATGAAAGTGTACGTAAACTTAACGTAATGTACATTAGATATGATAAAACTAGTGTAAACAAAATTTGATAAGAAGTTTATCTAAAATCGATTCAGTTTAGAAAAAAATATTCAGAGGGTATCATTTAGCGACAAACAATTAACACCGATAACGTCGTTTAAGTAAAAGTCACTTGTCGCTCATTAAGTTACTTTTGCTTAAATGCTTCTTACCGTAGGAAAGAATACGTTAATTTAACGAAATGCATAGTAACTTTAGTATATTAGGGGAGTGTATTTTCGGATTTTTTATCTAAACTCGGTACAGTAAGATCAAATTGCATTCAGCTTAATTTTATGTGTTCTTAAAAATCGATAAATAATGTGGGCTAAGATGTTATCTTAAATTTTCTTTCTTTTCCCTGATATTCTGTGACTTGTTTTATATAATTTTTGTGAGATCTCTGTAACTTTTGAAAGCTAACATGGCATAATTTATATGGCATAACGCTATAACTAGTGAAATAAACTTTTTAAAAAATCGTATGCTGTAAAATCACGCTGTTTCTAAATTCTAAACAATACATGTGTTGATGTTTTTAGTAACAAATTGATTTATGTAACATACATGATTAATTTATGATAATCGAGTGAATTAATCCTTAAAAATTTTCAATTGCTATTTTAAGCACGTTAAGCGATGATGTCGCGCATGCGCCATACGCCTTGCTTACGATAATTTCTTTTCCTTTTTTCTTTAATTAAAGGAGTTCTCATATGTTAGATTATCTGCATGAATACAGTTTAAATATATTTAAATTGATAAAAATTTATAGTTCAAAGCCCACTTACGAACAAGTGCATTATATAAATCCAAAGGCGATGAAGAACCGAAAGACGGATTGTTCAATTGGGCTTTTGCGACCCCTAAAGCCCCAATGAAAAGTAAAATCAATCTCAAACCCATATTAATCACAACAGTTACATCCAAAGTGATCCAGGGTTCTAGAGATCATTGAAAATAACGGTGTTTTATATAGGATGTCTTAATTATCATAAAGGCTAATCATATTTAAATAAAAATGTATATTTTCTAATAATGTCTTGTAAATAGTAATAAAGATGTCACGTTTAAAAAACGAGGGTCGCGTGAAAATGTCATACATCATTGCGATAAATAAAAAAAAAAATAAGCCAATGATGTTCTTTGGTTTATAGCATAATGAAACCATTGGTTTTAGCTATAATAAAAACAACACTGTGTGTTTTACTACCAAAATATTTGCCAATGAACTTGTGAGACGACAACTATAATAAATATACAATATACAATATATATACAAACGCAAACCGTTTTAAAATGATTTTGGTGATTCATTGTCCAGTTTTAAACGACTTCAATGATGTATATCCCAATTAGTATTTATTTGCTTTCTAGTTGTTTTTGTATTAATATTATAAACATGAACTATTCAATAACAAAAATAATCTAGATAGAATATGACTAAGCTGAGTGTGTAGAATTAAGTGGCCTCGTCTTTTAATAGTTTCTAAGTGCAAATTAACTAGTTAGGTAAAACAAATCCGACTTTTCTTTTATATTGAATAAAGTTTTACAGTGTTCTCGATATCGATTAAGTGTTACATTGTTACTTACATTGCTTATGTTAGTGTTACATTTTTCCTTACATAACTTAAGTTAGTGTTACATTTTTCCTTACATTACTTAAGTTAGTGTTACATTGTTCCTTACATTACTTAAGTTAGTGTTACATTGTTCCTTACATTACTTAAGTTAGTGTTACATTGTTCCTTACATTACTTAAGTTAGTGTTACATTGTTCCTTACATTACTTAAGTTAGTGTTACATTGTTCCTTACGTTACTTAAGTAAGTGTTACATTGTTTCTTTACATTACTTAAGTTAGTTTTATTTTTCCTAACATTACTCAAGTTAGTGTATCATTGTTCTTAACATCACTAAAGTAAGTTAAACATTGTTCCCACATTACTTAAGTTAGCGTAACATTGTTCCTTACGTTACTAAAGTTAGTTTTACATTGTTCTTTACATTTAAGTTTTATATTGTAAATCATACTAACTTAGTAATGTTAACATGGTTGATTACCTTACGTTACTCGAGTGAACGTTATATTGATAGTTGACATAAATTAAGTGTAACATTTTTCTTGACATAGTGTCCGGCATTAAATGCTCAAAGGGATGATTTGTTTTTGATATAATTTAAGTAACTGAATTTTGTGATTATTTGGATGCATCGTGGAACAACAACTAAAAATTGATTTGCTTGACAACGGTTTAATATACATACTATAAATAAATCTTAAGACTTGAACCATCCGCCCACTCACCTCGATGAGGAAAGCATCAGATTTACTATTAAGGTGTCACATGTTCGGTCCTCGGCCGGAACAATTAAACCTGGACATTGAAATCTAATGGTCATTTGTCTCTCATTTCCGATTCAAGAATCATATGGGATAAGTAGTTGTTCACTTGCAGAGAAATTGATAGTAACTGGTGAGTTATCCAGGAAAGCCTTTTGGGTTGACTTGTCAAAAAGTTTGTTAATCTCGGCGTTTAAAATCAACCAACGTATGAAACAAACTATAAGGGTTTGATAATATCGTATTTGATCAGTCTGATAGAGATGGTCAAAGAAATTACAAATATTTGGAGAGAAAAAGTTACCAGTTTTCTAATATGCAAGGAAAATAAAACCAAAACGTGTGATTTGTTGTTTTCTTTTAAAAACCATGATGTTGCAAATTAGAGAGTATAATTAATTGATCATGTTAACAATTAGTGTCAAGTATTAACACGTATATTAGATGACATACAGTGACATTAGTCCCCTATACTCATACAAAAAATAAAGAAAAAATGCATCAATAAAAATCAACATGAAAGATTTATTTGATATTACATCACGCAAAAAGCCGCAGTTTAGAACTCAAATTCTTACGTAAATAAGTTGTTTTCGTTTTAAGTGTTGTATGCTTAGAACAAAGAATATATTGTCAAGGCATCTTTGCACGTGCATTCCCACGAATTTTAAAGAGACTTCACTATTTGATTTAGATTTAGACCACAAATCTTTGTGCAAAATTTCAGATCATTCGCGCACTTCGTTTTTTCAGAATAATTAGTCGAATTGAAAAAAAATGACCCAAAATGAAAAGCGGTTAAACGCTTTTCACTCAAATCGGGTTAAGAGGAGCATAGAAATACGATTTTCAATTTATTTCAAAGTATATTTCATAAGTTTCCTTGCATATATTTATATTTAAAGTGCCCCATCTCATTTATGTGAGAAATTCAAATTTTATGTTTTAAGGCTTTTGAACCTAAGTTGAGTTCCTTTAACATACCATGGCAAGAATGTAATTATTATACGCTTATTCTGAGTTTTACCAAATTAAAATTTTACAAAATCTGTCATTTCATTCATCACTCATTTAACAACGTGATTTGAAATTGTTTCCCTGTTGCCGGTTGATTGTTATTTCAATGACAGTAAGGTGATACAGAAGAAAGATCCAGGACAATAATGGTGAGGATTTTAAAAGATGCA